CGGTTGTCTGGCTCAGCGAGTGCGTATAAGCTCCGCTCACTGGTGTTTCATCTCTACGAGCTATGTCATTGCATAAGCCCAACGATGTTGAGAGTTTCCAGTAGTTGTATACCGGCGGATGCGCAATATTTTGCAAGCACCAGTTTGAAATATTTTTCCTTTTTCACTAATACGCTCATATTTATTTGTATTACGGGCTGCTGAGGTGTTATGTTTTGTGTATTTTGTATTTTGTAATTTTTTAAATTTACATATATAGTTTTGCCATTCAGCAATTTGCACCATAACATAGAAAAGTGTTTCATTAGTATTTTATTTTTCAAAGCGGTAATAATGCATTACACTAGACACGTCAGTCGTGTTTGTGCCGGTTCGGTCAATGCATTCTATCTATTAGGATTAATTCAAGGGATTAGGATTAGGGTTAGGATTCATTCAAGTGGTTAGGACTAGGGTTAGGGGTTAGGGTTCGGGTTGGGGACCTAATGCAATATAGTAGGTACATGTCCGGTGGTTCCGTCAATGCATTCTATTTATTAGGATTATTTCAAAGGGTTAGGGTTAGGGTTAGGGCTGAGAGTTTAGGGGTTAGGGTTAGGGACAGGGACCTAATCCAATATAGCAGGTACATGTCCGGTGTAATACGTGAGTACCATTTGTTGTTTTTCCTTTTTGCATTTTAATACTTTTTTTTCACACAAAAACGGGAAACCAAAAACGTCGGAACTACATTATGAAATGGGTTAATGTAGAAAAATTTTGGGCTAATGGAAATTGGCCTGGAATTTGCAGCACTCAAGCCTCTTTCACACGCAACAGAAATTTTGTAAAGTAATGATTCGAAGGCTAACTCACCCTCGTGCCGTCACTACACAGGCTCATGTCTCCCTCGTTCCTTAGTGCGATCCACATTATCCTTACAGTTTTCCCTACATCACTTTTCTGTCACAAAATCACCGATTTATATAAAAGCGCGTCATTCATGCATGCACCGTGAAATATACGTCTGACGCCTGACGTCAACAACCCTTTTCAGTTTGAGGCATATCGGCTCATTCCACGCCACACGTTAATTTGTAGATTACGGAATGGGACGAGTGTGCCAAATGGCATCGCATCCATTCGGCAATTGTCCGTAGAATAAAATCACGTGACACCAAGTCTACCCGTAGCATTCGTAATTGTCCGTGACCTATTCGACTCTTTCCGTTCATTTCCTTGACGTCACAGGAATGACTTGATAAGTTTGCACATTGTGCAACAGTGTGGACGTAGCTCAGTCGGTTAGCTGTCGAGCTAACAATCCGTGGGTCGCGGGTTCGCGTCCGACGGGTTCTCACAAACTGGTTGCTTGTCTTAATACGCCATTCTTCTGCATTGGCAGCATGCAAAATCTCTTCCAATCGTCTTTCGCGATCTCTCGTCGACCCGCACAGCATAGTGCGACCTACTACGATTTCCGGTACCTCCTCTATCTCGTATTTCGAAGTTTCTATGCCGATGGCGTTTTTGGTCTTTTTTTCGCGCCATTCGAAAGCAACACGTTTGTTCGGGGGTAGCATCGTATCTGGATTTGGACCTTGGGGATGTAGCTGTGTTGGCCTACACTTCGAGATAGTATAGTTCTCGTATTGGGAGCTTTTGTGTAGCATCGTAGTGGGCCTATTTCCACTCCTGTAGCTGTGGCAGCCAAAATGTCTACTCGGAATAGAGGACACGCTCGGAATCCGAAATCGGCTGTAGCCCATTCTACAGCGTGGTCCCATCTAGCATCGTCTTCCACGTTGGCTATGGTTGGTTGTACTTGGATTCCGGATACTCTTCCCGTGCCCGTGTGTGCATACCAGCCCACGAAGATGGTCCCCTGGGGTCTGTCTGCAAGCACCATGCAACGGTCTAGACATTTCGATAGATTCTCCCACTGTTTTGCTGGTGGTTGTACTACGAATAGGTTTTCCCCCGAGAACAACTCTAGTGCTTCGTCCACCAAATCGTTGGCCATTGTGGTGTTGGTTCTATGCGCGTACAAAGAGACCTCTATGCGAGTACAACCTCTAGCCTGGACATCTGGATGGAGAAAGGTTTTCCACAGGTGTTCGTTGGAACAATCGGCATAGTCGGCCAAATGGCCACCGATGTGTTCTCGTACTTCTCCCGCTTCGAAATTGGAAACTACTTTGTTGTAGATTTTTGTTCGCATGGTATAGCCATTCTAGGTTCCAACCCATGTACAGACGTGGTTGCCTACACTTCTTGTATTGTCCAGGATGGTGGGTCCCTCGCGATCCATGGTAGTTGCAAGATCTCTTTGGTTTCGAAAGTCGTGTATCCTTTGGAGGTATTCCAAGAGACACTTTCTATCTAGGGTGCCGGAGAAATCCCTCGTATAGTCGATAGAATACAGGCCATAGCCATGTGCCAATAGAAATCGTTCGAATTTGGAAATATTGTCTTGTATTTGTTCCATAGGTATTTCCGAGACATCTACTTTTGCCACGAATATTCCAAATATCGGGTCGTCTACGTGTAGAGATTCCCATTCTATCTTTGCCGCAGAATTGGTTTCTTTCTCGATTCTTCGTACAGTGCTCCGTATTGCAGAGGGGCATCTATGGCATATTGTAGCGTATGTCTGATTTTGGTTTGCACGTAGCCTTCCTCTTGCTCGAAAGATTCGCGTACTTTTCCCGCGATATTGGAAACTACAATAGATGCTGTTCCTTTTTCTCCGATAGTGCAATACACGGCTCCTTTTCTATAGACACAGTCTTTTCGCCGAAGATAGCCAAATACGTACATATCGTCCACAAATGAAGGTAGGCCTTCCAGTGGTTGGAGGTTTGTTTTGCCGAGATGGCCATCGAGATAGTCTACACGGGCAATGTCCGGGAGAAGATTGTTTCCCACGTTATTTTCCAGTAGGAGGTGGTATGCCACAGATTTTAAGGCTCCTAAACAGCCACTTGGCTCACTGGCAAGAAACCAGCAGACGCTATCAAACTAAAATCAATAGTGGCAGAGTCGGCTGCACCATTGCGTGGGAAGGAGAAACAGATACCAGATAGGGCCCTAGTGAGGTACCTATACCAGCCGGGGGGAACACGAGGGTGATAGCCGTAGGCGAGCAACCGATCCGATATGGTCAGTCAAAACTTACAACATAGATAAAGTGGACATCAAAGCCGACGAGCCGAACTTGTACTACTTGAGAGATGGGCCAGGGAGAGGGCTCGTTAGAGATGAAATTATTGATCGTACCGTACCGTACAATGTTACCTCCTGTCAACACGTCATAGCGACACAGTAGTGCCACGTGTGGCCGGGAAGTTAACTGGGGGCTCAAAAGTAGTAGATATACTGGGGCGGGATCTAAGGGCCTGACAAAAGCTTTATTTGTGAAATAAGGCTTTGCAGAGGCTTTTGTTGGACTTGATCTCATACCCCCATTATATATGCTACTCACATTAATGTTTTACACACTTTCTTAACAGTATGGAAAAAGCACATCAGGCCTTTGAAATGTCATTATTGCGTTCTTTAACGTTCGATACATTCTGTTACAAATGGCACAATCTTTTATTCTAATTGTCAATATTGAAATCCACCTGCCACTTAATGTCAATGATTTGCACGTGCAAGTCGCTCTATCCATTGAAAGAGGAGGATAATTCACATGTAATGATGCTTTTTCACTGCCGTACACTGTCCTGGATACCTGTTGGAAATCGCAGCTTAAAATGAGACGTTTTTGACACGCTGAAAGGGGTCAGGCTATAGCCCTTTTGGAATCAGTCAAAATCAGCGGCAGGTTGCTGTCCGCTTTAATGTCAGTGAGAGTGCTACTGGTAGACTGTGGCAAAGATTTCAAGCCATTGGGTCCGTGGAATATGCCCGTCGACCAGGTCGCCCCAGAGTCACAACAGTCCGAGATGATAGGCACATGATTAACACTGCGTTACGTAACAGATTCATTAACGCAGCAGATCTTCAGAACACTTAACAATGTAAAGATATCCAGGAGCACCGGTCGTCGACGTTTAAGGCGTAGGCGTCCTGCAGTTCGTCCAACACTAACACCACGTCATAGGCAGGCGCGTTTGAGATGGAATAGCCAACTGGCTGGAATGAGTGAGTGAGTTAATATTTAACGTCACATCGGCAATATTTCAGCCATATCGTGACGAGAACATAGAAAGTAAGTTTCCAGCAAGTGAAACCTAGGTCCAATAAATGAAACCGCAAAAAACTTGGTTCTTATTACAGGCATAAAAACACAGTACTCTACAACGTAACGAGCATAGCGTTACATGTATTATACATTGTTACACATAGCGCACAACATTGTTTCACAAAGAGGACGAAGGGATTGTTGTTTGTTTAACTATTTATCAATATTGTTCTGACATAGTATTTAAAACTATTTATCTCTGCATATATTTCTGACCAACATGGTAAGCACAAAATAAAGTCATCAAGTCAACCGTTCCATCCAAATGTTAAACGACATAAATGCAGTTCTGTACTGAATCTGAATGTTAGACGCTTGATCGGTCACACAGGCAAATATAGTCCTTGTCCTGGTCCTTGAATGACAAGAGGATCCATCACAGCACTTCACTCCTTGAACACGTTTCCAAAATTTTGATCATATATATTTAACACAAAAATAACTTCCTACTGTACAGTACATTTTGAACTTTCTAAGGATGAACACAGCAGTCGATCAGAACACTGAATATTTACAGCTCGCAGCTTTTTGAACAAGAACTAATAGTAATAAAACACGTGTAAACATTGATCATGGGTGTCCCTCCGCTTCCGGTCCCCAATACCGACCCCTTGATAAAGAGCTGACCGTACGAGAACTGTTTCGTTTTCTCTAAATACACTTTTCAGCGTCATGCTAGACCCAACTCGGTATGACGTAAGACTCTTACATGGGAAGTGACGTCATAGACGGCTCCGCATGGTTACACCTTCATTGTCAGCGCATCGCCGCCTTGGTCGGACGTCTTGTTGCTGCCGCTGTTGTTCCACGTCGTTTTAGACGCTGTTATCTCTATTGGTCGTTCGATACGAGGTAGGTGACAAGTATCGTAATAAATGTGTAATGCCAGAGTGTAGACGATTCAGTATATTACTACGCAAGTTTTACAAATGTGCAGCTGCAGGTTACGCTTAAAATCGGGAGTCGAACAGGGACCCTGCTGTGACGTACAAATCGATTTTCCCGTTCTACCAGGAGATCTTATAAAACGACTCATTTTCGGTGTCATCTTACTGAAACAAAGCGTCTAATAATTTATATCTTGTCTTGTCTTGATAGGTCGTATTAGTTCCAAAATGTGGGACATGTAAAACTTTATCACATACACACTATTTCAGGTTAACGAGGATACAATCAACGAAATACGGTTCGTTGAAAACTTCTGTGTTTTAACTGATTGTATACTGAATTAAAATGATGTCGGACGGTGACAGATACAGTGTATCACTTTGGATATGATAAGATACATATTTTGTTTTATTTCTCGACAGCACAGAAAACAAGATGATTTTTCTGCACGGTCTGGCGTTAGCCGTATATGAATTTCAGAGATACCTCAAATACCGCGATGGTAGGTATTAGGTACAAACATGGCATAAATCATAATGATCCATGAATGTTTTATTTCTTGGTTTAATTAAGCTTATGGCTTTGTTTGTTCGATTGTGTGTGTGTGTGTGTGTGTGTGTGGTGGTCGTGCGTGCGTGTGTGTGTGTGTGCGCGCGCTACATGAAGGCTGTCTGTAAAATATCTATACAGGATGTTTGTTAAGGTGAATTAAGTTTTGTTAGTTTATTTTGTATGACTTGTTTGTCATATTCCACATGCTTTACGCCACATGCTCCCGCTATATAATGGTAGTCTGTGAATACTCGAGACTGGACCAGACAATGCGGTGATTGACTTCATGAGCATGGCTGACATGTTGCCAACCTAGTGACCTGGCCATTCATCTGCCTTCTACAGCTATACGTTACCGGTGGCCTCTAAGACCCGAACGCTGCACGTGAAATATAATGTCCCAGAATGCTTGAAACAAATACTCCTGAGAGAAAAAGAAACTGGTTGCTCAAATAATACATAACTGCAAGAAATAATAAGCAATATTTATGATGTTTGTGGACGGCATTTAGAAGAGATACACATTAAGGCGAGATACTTGATGGGTTTGGTGTTTATTTTGAAGAACACTACGTTTCGGAGTAGATTCTTACTCCTTCATGTTTTGGCCTTCAATATTTATGATCCTATTTTCATTAAAAATATATCTGGATTTGCAAATTTTATAAATATCCCGGAGAGTTACGGTTTCATATGGAACTTAAGAATCTGTGTACGTGGTCGCCTGACCTGCAGTCGTTCCCCCAACAGATCAGAAACAAGAGATGCAGAAGCGGGAGGCAGATCAGCAAGCCGCTGAGACGTACGCCGCCACCGCTGTCGAGAAGGCCGAGGCTGCTACTGCTGCAGCAGACGCTGGATATGCTGCCTGGAAAGACGCCATGATTTTTGCAGCTCTGGAGGCCGAGAGAGTGTCGGCTTATTCCACGAGGAACGCTGGGTCACCTGAAACGTTGGAGGTGAAGAAGTTAGAGGCAGCAGCTTTGGAAAAGGCCTATTCTTACGCAGCCCTGGAGGAGGTCAGAGCAGCTGTAGCTGTTGCAGTGGAGAAGGCCCAGTCTGCTGCAGCTGTTACTGACCTCCCCGGTGCTGACGACGCTGCAGCTGTTGTTGCAGCCTCCAAAGACGAGACCGTTCCAGGTAGGAAATGTGGATTTGGTATACACGATAGAAACCGTTAGATATTTTCTTGAATGTCAGTGCTTTTCAACATGGTCGCAAATATTTCTTCAATTATGTTGTATCACGACAGTGGCTAAAATCCGCTTATTTCCCTTCAGCCAAACAGGACAAACCCAAGAAGAAAGGCATCTTCGGAGGCATGAAGACTGGCTTCATGCTGTAAATGCTGCTTTCTGATTGGTCCTCGGCAGTCTACCTCATCCTTTCATGACCCACGCGCATGTCCTCCACTAACGACCTTGACCCTGATTCAATCAATTCCCGATGAACTATTTTGCTGTACACACAGCGGTCTGATCAACTTCTGCAGAGATGCGTAAAATTAGGGTCTGATGGGTGAAGAGTTAAATATGTAATTTGGATATTGATATATATGTAATTAACGTTTCAATGGATGTGTACTGATTAACAGCAGGTACCAATTTCAGGACTGTAAGGTGATTCTAACTGAAGACGTGTGCAGCAAGCACGTTGACATATTATGACGGGAGAGTGCGGGTGTGTTGTGTCACGATGTCGATGTGTTGATGACAGCCCAGGTCGGACTTAAAGGTGTTAAGTCAAAGTTACCCTAACCGTGTCTTTCAATACCACTGGTAAACAGATAGGTCAGGGTGGATAGTGGCAGTCGGCCAGACAGGCTGATGTTTGTCTGTGAGTGAGCTGTTCAAAAGGTGGTGGGTGAGGTGTTCAAGAGGTGGTGGGTGTGGTCTTCAAGAGGTGGTAGGTGAGGTGTTCAAGAGGTGGTGGGTGAGGTGTTCAAGAGGTGGTGGGTGAGGTGTTCAAGAGGTGGTGGGTGAGGTGTTCAAGAGGTGGTGGGTGAGGTGTTCAAGAGGTGGTGGGTGAGGTGTTCAAGAGGTGGTGAGTGAGGTGTTCAAGAGGTGGTGGGTGAGGTGTTCAAGAGGTGGTGGGTGAGGTGTTCAAGAGGTGGTGGGTGAGGTGTTCAAGAGGTGGTGAGTGAGGTGTTCAAGAGGTGGTGGGTGAGGTGTTCAAGAGGTGGTGTGGTGTTCAAGAGGTGGTGGGTGAGGTGTTCAAGAGGTGGTGGGTGAGGTGTTCAAGAGGTCAAGAGGTGGGGTGAGGTGTTCAAGAGGTGGTGAGTGGGGTGTTCAAGAGGTGGTGTGGTGAGGTGTGAGGTGTTCAAGAGGTGTGCTTGGGGGGTGTTCAAGAGGTGGGTGATGTGGTGAGTGAGGTGTTCAAGAGAGGTGGTGGTGTGTGAGGTGTTCAAGGTGGAGGTGGTGAGGTGAGGTGGTGGGTGGTGTTCAAGAGGTGGTGGTGAGGTGTTGTTGGGGTGTTCAAGAGGTGGTGGGTGAGGTGTTCAAGAGGTGGTGGGTGAGGTGTTGAGGTGGTGAGGTGTTCAAGAGGTGGTGGTGGGTGAGGTGTTCAAGAGGTGGTGGGTGAGGTGTTCAAGAGGTGGTGGGTGAGGTGTTCAAGAGGTGGTGGGTGAGGTGTTCAAGAGGTGGTGGTGTGTTCAAGTTTGTGCTTGTTGGGGTGGGTGAGGTGTTCAAGAGGTGGTTCAAGAGGGGTGAGGTGTTCAAGAGGGTTCAAGAGGTGGTGTGAGGTGTTCAAGAAGTGGGTGAGGTGTTCAAGAGGTGGTGAGTGAGGTGTTCAATTTGTGCTTGTTGGGGTGTTCAAGAGGTGGTGGGTGAGGTGTTCAAGTTGTGCTTGTCGAGATATTCAAGAGGTGCTTGTTAGGGTGTTCAAGAGGTGGTGAGTGAGGTGTTTAAAAGGTGGTGGGTTCCATGTTCAAAAAATGTGTTTTTACAATTTACCATTAATTGCTATGAACAAAATTAATTGTTCTCGTCACGATATGGCTGCAATATTGCCGATGTGACGATAAATTGTAACTCACTCACTCACTCAAAAGGTGGCTGTTGAGGTGATCAAGAGGTGGTGAGTTGGATGTTCAAGCGGTAGTGAGTGAGATGTTAGGGAGGTGGTGAGTGAGGTGTTGATATTGGTTGATATGTATGGCGGGGTAGGTGTAAGAGAGGTGGCCAGTGAGATGCCAGATGGGTGACTGTGTTGCAGTAGAGGTCGGTGAAAGACTTCAGTGTCACCTCTCTCGTGCTGTGTTCCAAAGACACCAGTTTTACCTCTCTAGTGCTGTGTTCCAAAGACACCAATGTCACCTCTCAAGTGCTGTGTTCCGAAACCACCGGTGTCACCTCTCTAGTGTTGTGTTCCAAAGACACCAATGTCACCTCTCTAGTGTTGTGTTCCAAAGACACCAATGGCACCTCTCTAGTGTTGTGTTCTAAAGGCACCAGTGTCACCTCTCTAGTGTTGTGTTCCAAAACCACCAGTGTCACCTATGTAGTGTTGTGTTATGAAGACACCAGTGTCACCTCTCTAGTGTTGTGTTCCAAAAGCACCAGTGTCACCTCTCTAGTGTTGTGTTCCACAAGCACCAGTGTCACCTCTCTAATATGATGTCCCAAAGACACCAGTGTCACCTCTCTAGTATTGTTCCAAAGACATCAGTTTTACCTCTCTCTAGTTCTGTGTTCCGAAAGCACCAGTGTCACCTCTCTAGTGTTGTGTTCCAAAGACACCAGTGTCACGTCTCTAGAGTTGTGTTCCAAATATCCCAGTATCATATCTCTAGTGTTGTGTCCCAAAGACCCCAGTGTCACCTCTATAGTGTTGTGTCCCAAAGACCCAAGTCTCACCTCTCAATTTTTTGTATTCCGAATACCACATTGTCAACTCTCTAGTGTTGTGTCCCAAGTACCCCAGTATCACCTCTAGTTGTGTCTCAAACACCCCAGTGTCACCTCCTATCTTATGTCCTAAATGTATCAGTGTAAATACCTAGTGTTGTAACAATTACGCCAGTGTAACCTCTCTAGTATTGTGTCCAAAGACACCAGTGTCACCTCTCTAGTGTTGTGTCCCAAAGACCAGAGACAATCCCAGTGTCACCTCTCTAGTGTTGTGTTCCAAAGACACCAGTGTCACCTCTCTAGTGTTGTGTTCCAAATACACCAGTGTCACCTCTCTAGTATTGTTTGTCCCAAAGACCCAAGTCTCACCTCTCAGTCTTGTGTTCTCTAAATGTTCCCCAGTATCACCTCTCTAGTGTTGTGTTCCCAAGTACCCCAGTGTCACCTCTCTAGTGTTGTGTCCCAAAGACATCCAGTATCACCTCTATCTCTAGTGTTGTGTCCTAAATGCCACAGTGTAACAATTACGCCAGTGTCACCTCTCTAGTATTTGTGTCCAAAGACACCAGTGTCACCCTCTCTAGTGTTGTGTTCCAAAGACCCCAGTGTCACCTCTCTAGTGTTGTGTCCAAACACCCCAGTATCACCTCTCTAGTGTTGTGTCCCAAAGACCCCAGTGTCACCTCTCTAGTGTTGTGTCCCAAAGATCCCAGTATCACCTCTCAATTGTTGTATTCCAAATACCACATTGTCAACTCTCTAGTGTTGTGGTCCAAATACCCCAGTGTTCACCTCTCTAGTACTGTGTCCCAAAGACACCAGTGTCACCTCTCTAGTCTTGTGTTCCAAATATCCCAGTGTCACCTCTCTAGTGCTGTGTCCAGAGACACCAATGTCACTTCTCTAGTGCTGTGTCCAGAGACACCAGTGTCACCTCTCTAGTGTTGTGTCCAAAGACACCAGTGTCACCTCTCTAGTGTTGTGTCCAAATACCCCAGTGTCACCTCTCTAGTCTTGTGTCCCAAAGACACCAGTGTCACCTCTCTAGTCTTGTGTCCCAAAGACACCAGTGTCACCTCTCTAGTGCTGTGTCCAGAGACACCAGTGTATCACCTCTCTAGTGTTGTGTTCCAGAGACACCAGTGTCACCTCTCTAGTGTTGTGTTCCAAAGACACCAATGGCACCTCTCTAGTGTTGTGTTCTAAAGGCACCAGTGTCACCTCTCTAGTGTTGTGTCCCAAAGACATCAGTATCACCTCTATCTTATGTTGTATCCTAAATACCACAGTGTAACAATTACGCCAGTGTAACCTCTCTAGTATTGTGGTCCAACGACACCAGGTTCACCTCTGTAGTACTGTGTCCCAAAGACACCAGTGTCACGTCTCTAGTGTTGTGTTCCAAATATCCCAGTATCATATCTCTAGTGTTGTGTCCCAAAGACCCCAGTGTCACCTCTATAGTGTTGTGTCCCAAAGACCCAAGTCTCACCTCTCAATTTTTGTATTCCGAATACCACATTGTCAACTCTCTAGTGTTGTGTCCCAAGTACCCCAGTGTTACCTCTCTAGTGTTGTGTCCCCAAGTACCCCAGTGTCACCTCTCTAGTCTTGTGTCTCAAATATCTACCAGTGTCACCTCTCTAGTCTTGTGTCCTAAACCTACAGTGTTGTGTCCTAAATACACCAGTGTCACCTCTCTAGTCTTGTGTCCCAAAGACACCAGTATCACCTCTCTAGTGCTGTGTCCAGAGACACCAGTATCACCTCTCTAGTGTTGTGTCCCAAAGACATCAGTATCACCTCTATCTTATGTTGTATCCTAAATACCACAGTGTAACAATTACGCCAGTGTCACCTCTCTAGTGTTGTGGTCCAACGACACCAGGTTCACCTCTGTAGTACTGTGTCCCAAAGACACCAATGTCACCTCTCTAGTGTTGTGTTCCAAAGACACCAATGGCACCTCTCTAGTGTTGTGTTCTAAAGGCACCAGTGTCACCTCTCTAGTGTTGTGGTCCAACGACACCAGGTTCACCTCTGTAGTACTGTGTCCCAAAGACACAAGTGTCACCTCTCTAGTGTTGTGTTCCAAACACCCCAGTGTCACCTCGCTAGTTTTGTGTCCCAAATATCCCAGTGTCACCTCTCTAGCGTTCTGTTCCAAAGACACCAGTTTCATCTTTGTAGTGTTGTGGCCCAAATATCCCAGTGTCACATCTCTAGTGTTGTGTTCCAAATACACCAGTTTCATCTTTGTAGTGTTGTGTCCCAAATATCCCAGTGTCACATCTCTAGCGTTCTGTTCCAAATACACCAATGTCACCTCTGTAGTCTTGTGTTATAAAGACACCAGAATCACCTCCCTGGAATAAGGTTTCAGTCTCGACCTTGGATCTATCAAGAGGTAATCTAGACTACATGTATCTCTTTGTATTCTGATCAGTTCCAAAGACAATTAATTCTCTAGTGATGGATTCCATAGACACTAGCCCCGCCTCTCCAGTACACGGTTAAGGTTCCAAAGACACGGGTGTGCCCGACAGTATTGTTCCAAACGAATGGGTGCTACCTCTCCGCGATCCAAAGACACAGAGGCCACTTCTCTGTTTCCTATCCAGAGATCGTACCATTTACTCTGTGGTTGTTCCATCGACACCAGCTCTAGAAGAGGGTCTCAAATATGTTCCTTTGTAGTAGATTTGGTCGACCTTATATTTTGGTGTTTGAATACCCCAATGTCGACTCACTTGCGTTGCGGGGCGGTGGGGTAGCCTAGTGGTTAAAGCGTTGGCTCGTCACGCCGAAGACCCGGGTTCGAATCCCCACATGGGTACAATGTGTGAAGCCCATTTCTGGTGTCCCCCGCCGTGATGTTGCTGGAATATTGCTAAAAGCGGCGTAAAACCAAACTCAGTCAGTCACTTGCGTTGCACAATTCCTTCAGCTCTCCAGCTTTTCTACACATACACCTGTGCTGATCCTCTACAGATCCAGCATCAGGTCGCGCAAAGGTCTCCACTGAAATATACATTCCACCGGCAACAACGGCAATAAAATATGCCTGGACATTGCTTATACGTACCACCAGGATTCGAACCTGCAACAACTCCTAGCTGTCACCAGCACACCCCACTCTCCCAGTCCATTCCCGTCAAGCCTCCCTGCTCCCAGATATGTCACTATCACAGGTTTCTTTCACTTAGTTCGGTAAGCTATTTAGATAACGGCTTTAGGCTAGAACGATGACCTTGACAATATGGTTTTACTTACCCATCAGCCTCTATTGTGATTATGATGTTGACTTGTTATTGATCTGCTAGTTCAGTATGTGTGGTTGCAATTTGTGAAATAAATGTGAATAGTTTTCTATCTGCTTGGCGTTTTTCTGTTCTGATCCTTCGCAAAATCACTCACTCACACACTCACCAACCTACACTCGCTTACTTACTATTCTCTCAACCACCTAGCACCAAACTAGACTCACTCACTCACTCACACGATAGCTCGGACCACATGTGTATGATTCTTCAAATTTAGTGATGTAAACGTTTCAGAGCAGCGGCGCTACCGGAGAAGTTTAGTATTCATGTTCCTTGCATACGTTGCTCTTTGAAAGAACATCTGGATATGCGCGGCAAACTGTCAATACTTTGAGTGAGTGAGTGAGTATGCTTTTACACCGCTTTTAGCAATATTCCAGCAATATCACGGCGGGGTACACTAGAAATGGGCTTCACACATTGTGCCCATGTGTGGAATCGAGCTCGGGTCTTTGGCGTGACGAGCCAATGCTTCAACCATTAGGCTACCCCACCGCCCCTGAGTACTTTGAGAATCGGCACCTTTGACTGGTACTATAAATCGCATTTTTTGCATGTTTAACTGATGTTAAAGAGTTCGATCTACACAATCCGTATTGTTTCAATGCTTTCTAATGTTGGCAAAAGTCAAATGCAATAAAGATGTGATTCTTGTATTTGTAACGTATCAGATTGTTCAATGTGATTGTGTAGTTCTGCACAATTACACTTGCAGGTTGGAGTGAGTGGATGAGTATGATTTTACGCTTTTAGTAACATTCCAGCAATGTTATGGTCTAGTACACCAATTGAGGCCTTGGGGAATCGAACCCGGGTCTCCGGCATGACAAGCGAACGGTTTAACCACCAGGCTACCTCACAGCTCTATTGTAGCTTAGAAGTTGTTTTGAAAAGAGCCAGGCGGATGTCATTGCATCATCGTCCTGATATTGTTTCCCTAACAAGTTTCTTTTTATACTATGAGGCTCTCACTTCCCTGTCTGTTAGTAGTTGTGTTGGAATTCCATACCGATACTGAATAGTCCCGCAGAAATAGTTTTAACACGTTCTAATAGCTAACTTCGAAATACCATCGTAAGTTGTTTCAGCTAATTTTTCTTTCATTGTTTGCAAGCTTCATAAAATATATTTAAGTGTATTTTTAATATACAACACTCATAGTCACGATATGGCTGAAATACTACCAATATGACTTTAATTTTAACTCACTCACTCATAACATATATTCCTGTGCACGAGGGTATACAGCCTGCAACTGCTCTTGCTAAATGGCTGCAGAATGTTTGGTGCAATAGGCTGGTGGACAGGTGCCCCCTTGGGAACAGCAGCCCAAACTACCGTTTTCCTCTAATGTGTACTTTACATATAGAGACCGCCTCCGTGGTGTAGTGGTTAGAGCGTCCGCCCGGAGAGCGGAAGGTCGCGGGTTCGATCCCCGACCGAGTCATACCAAAAGACGTTAAAATATGGTACTTGTTGGTCCCTGCCTGGCGCTCGACATTAATGGGTACCACAAGGACTGGTCGGCTTGGAGTCAGTATAATGTGTCTGAGTGAGGTATTCATGCTTCACTGCGGCATGGTATCTCAGTGGGCTAGCACTATTAAAAAAAACAGTTTAAGTCTGGGCTAGTACAAGCAGCCGCACATACACATACACACGCATGCACGTCGTCATATGAGCGAAATATTCTCAAGCACCCAATTTTACCTCACCTCACCTCACGTCACTTTACATATAGTCCGTTTGGATCAAAAAGCGGACCGATGAATTGCAATCTAACTCGTCGTTATCTATGTTTAGTAGTTTTCGAGTTAGATTGCAATTCATCGGTCCGCTTTTGGTCCAAACGGACTACAGTATATATGTAGAAACTTACACAGTGGTGTTTGAGTGAGTGAGTGATTTTGGTTTTACGCAGCTTTTAGCAACAATCCAGCAATATCACGACGGGGGACACCAGAAATGGGCTTCACACATTCAGTGGTGTTTGAACTAGGGTGAGCATAGGTCCAAACCTTGAAATAAATGTCCCTTCACACGAGAGCGTCAACCGTCAGTTACTTTCTGTCTGTGGTGTTGTATACACCTGTCGGTGCTAAGGGTCACTGATGTCCTTAAAATATGCATTACTACAGCGTTAGAAACGTTAACGTCTGCATGTTACCGTGTTTGTTTGCGGGATATCACGGTAGGTCTCAGCACATGTGCGTTCAACATATTCACAACGTGTCCCTGTGTACAGAATCTAGTAGTTTTTAAATTCAATTTCTACTACCGTACACAAAGTTCGCTACCTTTGTCAGAATCATGTTGTTTTTTTTACTCAACATAATTCATAAGGCAGTGGTGAACCAAGTTGGATTAGCCTCCATGTTAAAATGTCATATGATGCTGTTTGGTTTATGGGAAGACTAAACAGGCCGGAAGGTAAGGCCTGTGCATTTGGTTAATGGCATGTAATTATGTCACTTCGTGTTCGTGTCATGTATTGTCTAGTCCAACAAACAAACCCTTTTGTTTCCTCGCACATCAACCTGGCACAAGGTCATAGTACTAAATATTTGGTCAAATACGTGCAAACACCAAGTCGCGGGTACAGCAACGTGCAGTAAACTTGGACAAAGTAGTGTGACTATGTGTCCACCCAGGTGCGCCTAGTGGCTGCAAGAGTTGTATGACCCCAAGGAGTTGAGATTGACAATACGATGTGCCGTTTGAGACTGACATCGAGGGGAAAAACAAAGCGCCTTTGAGCAGCTGAGCTGGATATTGGCGCTATACAAATATTAACATAATAATAGCAACCTGTGAACAGTACAAGACGTAGCGGGTTTTCAGTATGCAACTAGACAGGCGGGTGCCTATATGAGACGATATGAAACGTGAAATAATGTTCAAAGCGACATTAAAACGTAAACGGCTCACTTATATGGTGTCTGATACTGCCTCACACTCGGTCTCACCCACGCGTATATGGAGACCCGTGAAGGTCCGGGTAGGAATTGGTCTTCAGTAACCCATGCTTGTCGTAAGAGGCGACTAACGGGATCGGCTGGTCAGGCTCGCTTACTTGGTTGACACATGTCATCGTATCCCAGTTGGGTAGATCGATGTTGATGCTGTTGATCACTGGATTGTCTGGTCCAGGCTTGATTATTTACAGACCGCCGCCAGACTCAGTCATACTTGGTCTCACCCACGGGTATGGAAGTTGTTTAAGGCGGCAAGATATCGCGGTCTGTCAGGACCTGACAATCCATCAACGAAACACTACGCCAACAATTTCTTCTTTATTACAAACCAAGTTAAGACACCTGTCACCAGCATGTGTGTTAAAGTTCGTATGAGCATCATTCAACTACTTCTTTAGTCAATAACACCAGGGTGATCAAACTGATGCTCGACCTTGCTTATGCGGAGGTCACCTGTCTGCCCTATATTCAGCAGTGTGTGTGTGTGTGTGTGTGTGTGTGTGTGTGTGTGTGCGTGCGTGCGTGCGTGCGTGTGTGTGTGCGTGTGTGTGTGTAATTGTGATGAGTTGCTGCATCTAGGAGTTATATCACGGTCTTGCTGATGGTGTTGGGGTGTTTCACGGTCTTGCTGTTGTATCTGGGAGTTATTTCACTGTCTTGCTGTTGTATTTGAGGGTTATTTCACTGTCTTGCTGTTGTATTTGGCAGTTACTTCACAGTCTTGCTGTTGTATCTAGGAGTTATTTCACGGTCTTGCTGTTGTATCTCCGGCGTTTGGGGGGTGGTCCGTCCAGTCTGGCGGTGGTGGGAGAGAACACCCTGGTTTCGATTGTCTGTACGGAGTGGTAGTTGTCCATCATCGGCTTCACCTTCCTCCAGATCTGGAACAAGACAGATACCTGTATCAATGCTGTGACCCAACACTATCACCACAAGTACCCTCTCTACCTGGGCTACCAAGTATTTGATGACCAGATGCTTGATGGCCATTTAGAAGTTGGAAGGTAACGTATCAATCAATGGTATCAATCAATGTTTATCCAATCAAGATATATCCTTTTCGTTGTACAAACACTCTTCACACACCAGTCTATAATATCTCAATACCAATCTATTGCATAAACATAGCACTTAATGTCTTTGAACTCTGTACATTTCAATCAAAACATAGAACTTAATCTTTAATTCCATATCACTGGCCGCCTGTACGTACTATATCTTGCTTGTATTTCACCCGATGAAGGGGCAAGAACTAGCCCTGAAACGTCTTGTTGTAAATAACAAAGAAGTTGTAAATCCATACCATACGTTGTTGTGGGTTTGAAGACCGCCATCACATAGCAGAAATACCCCCGACTGTGGCTTTAGAAAACCATACACAAACATAACTAGCGCCATGACGTCTTCCCCGGCCACAACTACCACCACCAACGACATTCCTGACAACTACAACTACCATTTGGCCACAACAGCTACTACTAACCACCACCATACACCTGCCACTCCTACCACATCCCCATTACGACTACTACCACAACAGACAACCGGAATCCGTGAATAGTTTTTGTTCGTTTGGAAATGATTACATAAATTGAGTTAGGTAGCAACACAGGAATAGAATGTATTGTTGGGTATACTTCAAAAGGTGTGTGTCTGTGCGTGTCCGTGTGTGTGTCCGTGTGTGTGTTAGGGTGGGAAGGGCAGTCCCACACCTTCTGGTCGCTCTAGCCTACCTTTTCCTCCTGTAGAAGCTTGGTGACTGCCTCGATGTCCGGAGCCATGAACCTGTCTCTGTTCCAGGGGCTGCAGGCAGAATACAACACCGAGTCAGCGGGTGAGTACAAGCCTACCTAACACCTGACCTCAAGTACCAATAAGAAACCCTCCAAGACAATTACATAATATCAAAGACAATCATGGAACTGGAACCCGATGCTCGCGAGTTCTAATCCGAGATTCGCCTTGATTACTGTTTCTCTGCATCACACCACTTTATTCAGTCCAAAAGCTATGGGGAAATGATCCTCAGGGAAAACATTGTTGGGGGGGAATCCGCCCCTGCACACCGAGTTTATGGTATTCCCTCCCACATAAAGCTGGAGGGCGTTTTTGGAACTGACACAATGACGACCTCGACCACCGAAATCATGTCGCCTAAACACAACGGAAATCATGTCGAGTAAACACCCCTTAAATCATGTCGAGTAAATACCCCTGAAAATATGTCGAGTAAACACCCCTGAAAATATGTCGAGTAAACACCCCTGAAATCATGTCGAGTAAACACCCCTGAAATCATGTCGAGTAAACACCCCTGAAATCATGTCGAGTAAACACCCCTGAAATCATGTCGAGTAAACACCCCTGAAAATATGCCGAGTAAACACCACTGAAATCATGTCGAGTAAACACCCCTGAAAATATGTCGAGTTAACTATAGCTTGCAGAGGACACCTAACACGATATTTACCCGACGACTGACCGGACCAGCTTGTGCACCTCTTCCAGGGGCGGCGTCGTCGTCAGGGGTCGCAGAAACTCCATCGCCTGGCAGGCTGCCAGTAACTCGATTGCCAAGACTGGAATAATGTTCATCATTTAATGAGTTAACAAATCTGTAATGGATGTTTATTCCAACAAATGTGAATCCTAGATGTGACTTCTTCCTCTTATCGTATTGCAGCTCTTATATAATCAAGCAAAAAGGTAACAAAAGTACGACAACGCAACATATTGACCATTTGCAGAGCTTTAAAAAATATGTTACCTATACTAAACGGAACAATTTCCGAAAGCTACAGTGGCCCTTCTAGGATTCCATAGATTTGCACCGAAAACGACAAACACAATATGTAATACGCAGTACCTACCCATAGAAACTTGGAGTTGATTGACTATATACTTGTGGTTTACACAGTTTATAAGTGGTTTACACAGTTTGATGATTAATAATCCATAGGATCATTATCGTCATAAGACCGCCTCCGTGGTGTAGTGGTTAGAGCGTCCGCCCGGAAAGCGGAAGGTTGCGGGTTCGATCCCCGACCGCGTCATACCAAAAGACGTTAAAATATGGTACTTGTTGGTCCCTGCCTGGCGCTCGGCATTAATGGGTACAACAAGGACTGGTCGGATCGGAGTCAGTATAATGTGTCTGAGTGGGGTATTTATGCTTCACTGCGGCATGGTATCTCAGTGGGCTAGCAGTATAAAACCAGCCTAAGTCTGGGCTAGTACCAGCAGCCGCACATACACATAGACACGCATGCACGTCGTCATATGAGCGAAATATTCTCAAGCACGACGTAAAACCCACTTTCACCTCACCTCATCGTCATAATGAAATGTCAGTACGTAACTGCAATAGTTGAACTTTGAGCAATTCAGGGGGAGCCCAGCGCTTTCGCTCTAAAAGTAATGCAATGGGATGACTACAGATACAACTATACTATTTTGTTTTATTGTAGAACGTGCGTCTCTAGTTATATTACAGTTAATACATTGTCCCCACCTTGTTCCACGTGTTCCACGACCCTGAGACACTTCCTGGCGGAGAAGGCCCCCATAGACACGTGGTCCTCCGTCCCAGCGCTGGTGGTCAGCGAGTCCACTGACGATGGGTGACACAGCACCTTGTTCTCGGACACTGTCCGGACACAGAATACCATAAACATCAGTCATATAGAGAAACACGCCTTGGGATACCGTTATTCCCCATTGAAAAGGTAGTGGTCTCCTAGCTTGATTAGCTTATGATCCGAGAAGAACCGGGTAAGAAATGGTCTCCAGCAAACCATGCTTGTTGTAAGAGACTTGCTGACTTGGCTGACACATGTCAACGTATCCCAATTGCATAGATTGATGCTCATGATGTTGATCACTGGAATATTTGTTTCAGACTTGATTATTTACAGACGCCGCCATATAGCTGGAATATTGCTGAGTGTGACGTGAAACAAAACAAAAACACAAAAAAAACAACTGATTAGATCATTTCCAAGGCGGGAGGATGAAAGGCATAGAGGACGCCGGGTGTAGGACGGAGAAAGGAGGACGAAGGTTGAAGGAAGAGGAGACCGACCGTACCTAGAGATGCTGCTGTACAGTGGGCGATCATGAAGCCCGAGTTGAGTCCGCCCTCTTTAGTCAGGAAGGCTGGGAGTTCACTCAGAGCTGAAACAGTGCAGGAATTCGTGCAGTCAGGTGTCTGTGCTGATAGGCAACCTAATCCCCACCCTGATAGAACACATCTTCTACATCCTTATAACTATAGTTTCACCTACCCGGATTAACAAGTCTCTCTATCCGTCGCTCGCTCATGTTGGCCAGCTCGTGCACCCCGATAGCAAGGTAGTCCAGAGCCTGGGCAGACAATATATATTCAGATATTTACCAAAGTCTGGCGTCCTATATCGATAGTGTAGGCCGGCAACTTTCGCCCTTTTCCGAAGATGACATTATTTACACTTTACTTTCCTAAACAGGGGTTTCGCCGCAATATATGTTTATTTGTTGTTCACTCAACGATATTGCAGCTTTACGGAAATTATTTACGAACTCGATTATTTACAGACCGCCGCCATATAGCTGGAATATTAAGAATAACAACAAATAAACAAAACATAGACTTACGACAGTGTCGACTTTATGATCATTTTGTGCTAGTTGATCTTAGGGAAATTAAACAGACGGCTGGTTGTTTAAAACATCCTTAATCATGTTCAGACGTATAAACAGGTCACACTTTTTAACAATGGACACTGAGGTTTCTGTTTAGGATCTGATCATATTTTGACAGTGCAAGACGAAACCTTTTACAGAGATTTATAATTGTACTTAATGAATATTATGGCGGAATAGGGATGATAAACTTTACTTTTCAAACAGCTTGAGCTGACCCCCGAGATACTGGGCTGACCCAATGTCTCACCTTGGCCGGGTACTCCCCGTGGAAGTTCCCCCCTGACAGAATCTCGCCAGTCTCAGCAAACACCATCTTTGTCGGGTTGAGGAACAGTCGTACAAACAGTTGCTATGGTGATTGTTTGTCATCCTTACGTGCAAACTTTCTTTGGGTCTGCGACGTCCATTATTGTGACGTCATTGACAACGTCGAGCATTATATACTACAGTACAACCAGAATTATTGAGAATTTAAAATTGTAAAATTGTGTTATTTTTTTCACTCATTACTTACGTATTACATGTGAATATTAGCAGAACATAACTCCAGATTCAAAGACAGGTGAACAGTTAGTATTTTGTCAAGTCACCATGGGCAGCAATGCAGGCTTCAATGCGGCGGGGCATACTACTGATCAAAGAAGCTAGGAAGTCGTGGTCCATGCTGTCCCAATATCGGACCACCTCTTCTTTCATTTCAGCAATATTTGTCAGATCTTTCTTATTGACACTTTCCTTCATAAGACCCCAAACATTTTCTATTGGATTTAGGTGAGAGCTATAGCTTGGCCAATCTAAAATGTCATATTTTGGGTCCGAAACCAGGCCTGTGAATGCTTTGAACGATGTTTTGGGTCGTTGTCCTGCTGGAAAATCCAAACATTTCCATACAACACGTGAGCAGAAGGAAGTAAATGTCCCTCGAGAATATCTGTGTACCGCTCACTATTCATATTCCCTTCAAATACAGAGAGGGGCGTTGCCCCTAACACAGATATGCGCTGATACAAAGGTTTTTCAGTTTCAGTCCAGAATTTCAGTGTATTAGGAAACAGCCACACAGAACTTTCATCTGAGAAAATCACATTGTCCCAGTTAAAATTTCTATGCTGTAAGCACCAGTTCAACCTTCGCTCCTTTTGTTCAGGTTTCATGATCGGTGATGGAATTCCTCGACTTTTCTGCCAACCCATTGCATGCAGCTCAGTTCTAATTGTCTCCTTACAGACAGCCACAGTTCCTCTATCAATCATATCCAGCCTTAAGGTCCTAAACTCCTTCGTTTGTTTTTAGAAACAAGAATACCAAGCCGCCTCCTGTCACCGACAGTCAATTTTCTGAGCCTACCTGCGCCTCCCTGGTGCCCAGTGCCATATCCATTTGCAGTATTTTTCAAAACACGATAAACAGTGGACAAAGGGATGCCTGTTCTACTTGCAATCACTTTACCTGATCTGATGTCCTTGTTATAATACTTTAAAATCAACTTCCTCTTCTCTAAATCATCCATACTGATGATCACTGAAAATGTCGTCTGCTAGCAGGTAAACAAAGGGGGATAACTCTTCACAAACTAATGAAAAAGGATTAACAGAGTTGTCTCTCTTGAATGAAACCAAACGCTTGATAGCTGGTCAAGGTTGTTTATACTGGAAATCCAATTAAACATATTCCTAAAATTCTCAATAATTTCTGGTCATACTATGCAAACAAAAAGTATGAGAATACCCTAAAATTTGATAGTCATATATAAACTTAAACGTGGTGAGGTCATTTATTCTCTTATTGTGTGCTTAATGGGCACTTTAAACGACATGTTGGAACATGCAGTGAAGCAACTGATTCAATACTCGCTGAGTTTGAGCGAAATGAAACATTGTCAAGAACATCCAAAAACAAGGGTGCTGAAACACACCAGCGCCATGTTTGATTAAAAAACCTAAACACAACAGCCTAGTGCATGTGGAAGACACACTTCACATGCATCTTGTGGCAACTGTGCACTGGGAGTTGTGAATCGGTTCCGAAGGACTTGGAGCACAACATATCGGTCATCTGGTCTTGGGTTTTTTCTGGGTCTTCCAGAGCGAGGTCTGTCCTGTACTCTACCAGTGTCCTGGAACCTGTCCCTCAATCTTATGGATTTACCATCCTGAAACAAGCAATGGCCCTGCTTCTGTGGTGGGCGCTTTACGGTCTGGGCTGTGGCATGGTGAAGAAGATGTGAGGCTGCAATACTGTCTGTAGCTTCTTTTAAAGGAAACGTTGCCATAAGCTGCATGGGAAGTCTGTCTTCCACATGCACTAGGTTGTTGTGTTTGGACGTTTAAATCAAGCATGGTGCTGGTGTGTTTCAGCACCCTTGTTTTTCGTTCTTTTTGACAATGTTTCATTTCACTCAAACTCAACGAATAATGAATCAGTTGCTTTACGGCTTGTCCCAACATGTCGTTTAAAGTACCCATTAAGCACACACAAAGTTGCATTTACCTCAGAGTATAAATGACCTCACCACGCTGACGTTTATATCACTATCAAATTTTGGGGTATTCCCATAGTGTTTGTAGTGTTATCATTTCATCATTCATATCAAAATTAGTGTCTAGAAAAAAGAGTATTAATGTCGCATCTATATAGCAACACGCGAGTGCATGCGTGCATGCGTGCGTGCGTGCGTATGTGTCAGCTTGTACGAGTTCGAAATCATGCAGGTTTATAGTGATAAACCACTGATATACTAGACAGCAGATTCCACAATGGCTATTTCCTTACACATCATTCAGAGATATTGGTGTCAAGTAGGACATTCATAGTGTCTTATTTTTATAGCGGCATGTGTGCGTCCGTGCGTGCGTGCGCTAGTCTAGTCCATCTTTTGCTGTATTTTGGTTTCAAGTGGCCGGGAATGAAACTACTGAACTCCGCTTTCCGAACAAACACCCTATCCGGTAGACCATGGGAGTCTTGTCGAGAAAGAGGGCTTATAGCTTACGCTTGACACTTCAACGTCAAATGAAATATCAAGAGTTGCGTCCCTTGGTACTACATTGATCGTGATAATATGTTAGAATCCCTGATTTGTTTGTAGTATCCCCAAGGGATAAACCTCTTCGACTGCACCACTTTGGGCCTTTTTCACATACTCCACAAGTGACCTGCCGTAATATACCTGGAGTAATGTTCAAAGCGGAGTTAAACCAACTCACTCACTCACTCATACTTGTGAAGGATACAGGGTTGTCTGTGGCGCTGTTCATCTCGGTGACCAGGATGCCCCTGACGAAGGCCACAGTGTCGTTCACGATGCCGTGCACCTGTAATAACAAGCAATGGTATATGTACAGGGTATCTGTTGTCATGTTTGATTTAAAACGTATTTGTAAGCGGACCCTTTTGGAATAGGTGATTTATGTTAAGTTTACGATTTCAACACCACCATTATCAGTCAAGTATCAAGTTGGCCTTGCCTGTATCAACCCGGTCCAAATGACACTGTGGAAAAGCCTAGTTTTCCAAAACCAGTAACAGAAAATGATACCAAAGAATGGAAAATGGAGTAATATTATACACAAAGAACTGAATCGAGCACACCCTGTATTTTTGCAATGATAGGTTTTCAACACGTACATAAACTTCTCGTGGTGACCACGATGGAATAACACGAGAGTTTCTGACCCGTATGATCCTTTGACTTTGACGACAAAACGATTGGAATCGATGTTGATTTTAAGATGATATTGCTCATTTGAAAAATATAGTTACACTGATTTTCATTCAAAACCATATCTCCACAAGTATGGCCCTGGAATGTTTAATGTTGAATTTATTGGTGAATGTGAACATTCAATATGTCATTTTGTGTGTCTTACACGATTCATGGTCAATACCATGTGTAACCTCCATGTGTCACTGACATTGGAATTAACATACAGGTCAAGGCGTAATCCTGATACCTATATTAAACAACTCATATTTTAGTGGTCTTGAAATGCGGTTTAACATCGCCGTCAAGACTATAGCACTTACACCGGGCTGTATATTCAAGTAGGTACCTAGCTACAAAATTTAATGTGTGACCCGCTGATTGCCCATGTTTGTACCCTAACGACGTCCATTAATGTCAGCCACTGGTCTGCGTCCGCTAAACACCCTTCATCTCAGAAAGAGTGAGTGAGTGTTGTTTACAGCAGCAGTAAGCAATATTCTAGCGTATATTCTACAGCGACCAGTAAATAACAGAGTTGAGAACTAAACATGCTGAAACTAAGTGACTGAAAGCAAGCGCATTGATTTAATCTGAGGGAATCCGGGACATGATGACAGCGACACGGTCAAGTCACTGAGTCTGTCCTTCTGATCCCCTGATCATACCCTGCAGACCCATCTTACCTGCGGACAGCACCTTAGCGTGTACGCGTCTTGAACCCGGTCACAGAACCTGTGGCTCTCTACAACAGACAAAGCTCAGTTTAAACAGTGAAATAGTGAGTGAGTTTAGTTTTACGCCGCACTCAGCAATATTCCAGCTATATGTAGGCGGTCTGTAAATGATCGAGTCTGGACCAGACAACCCAGTGATCAACAGCATGAGCATCGATCTGCGCATTTGGGAACCGATGACATGTGTCAACCAAGTCAGCGAGCCTGACCACCCGATTCCGTTAGTCGTCTCTTACGACAAGCATGGGTTACTGAAGATCAATATTCTAACCCGGACCTTCACGGGTCCAGTGAAACAGCACCTTAGCTTATATATGTATATATATAAGTATAGCTCTGGTTCAGTTGTGATTTGCACAGTATATAAACAAACTGTACAAACCAATATGGCGGCGCTAACCAATCTGGAACGAGTGAACCTTCATCTTAATCTTTCTTCTGAAACAAGAATCAGTTCTTACCTGCTATCTGAGATGGATGTGTTTCAGAATGAAGGAGTGATCTTAGTCGCCTAGCAACCAGACCTTGGCCTTTGTGTGGTCGCACTTTCTGAATATCTGAAAACAGAAAATTGGAAACAATGACCACGGTAGTTTAGTCATATTTTGAAGGCGAATGCGCAGAAACAAGTACAACACAGTTATTGAACTTTATTGAACTACACAACCTTATAAAAATATTCAAAAGGTAACATTCATTTTTAAAGGTTTCTGAATATGTTGTTGAACCGTCGTCCAGGTCTCATGCCATATTGGCTTTTTTATACTGCCAGGAAATATTTATTTCTATTCTATTTTCCACTCTCATGTTTACCAGATATCTGTGAGAATGTGTGATCAATATTATCAAAATGATGTATGTAACCTGGTCCTTGTCAAACAAACTCCCAGAAACAAGTAACCAGCAACATTCCACTGTGGTCGGGTAAATAATACCCTCATATATATAGGATAAACAGTGGGTTTAACTTCATACCATCCCAGTGAAATCCCAGTCATCTGAGTATCTGACGTAATGCAAGTACTTACTGCTATCGAATGCCCTTGTTGAACCCTTCAGTACCTCCAAGGTCATGGCCGCGACAATGTCTGCCTGTCTGGTAATGGACTCCGACCTCTCGCTAGCTGGTAGAACAATCAGTGTTGTACAATGTGAATCAACGTTCAACAATGTTTTCTCGACTGGCCAACAGTAATATACTACACAAAAGAAGGTAAGGGATTGTCTTTCATATGACTATGTACAGTGAATCTGTCGCAGATGCTGGGCCTTTGAGCTCTTTAACATAGGCAGGTTCGGGGTTGGGTATTATGTGTGCGTGGGGTGGGGGGTGTTGTTGTTGTGTTTTTTGCAGGGGTGCGCACCCACCCGCCTCCACCCCAACCCACTCCCAAACCCTTTTGTCCTGCACTTTTATTAACTGGCCATTGAAACTCTCGAGAAAATGGGTGAAAATGAACTGCGGCTAGGTCACTCACTCAAAAGTAACATTGCCCACTCACTAACTCACTCACTCACTCTCGCACACGCAGTAACCCTGCACATGCCTACCTTCAACTCCTAAAGATGTTATAAGTTGTGTTCCATTTATCATTGCAAGGCCCTGCAAAAGATAGCAAACATTACGTAGTGTCTCGAATTCATACCAATGAATATTTTGTCGGATTAATGTACATTTTGCAAGCCAATCAAATTCTGTTACCTCTTTAGGCTTGGGCTTTATCGGAGTGAGGTTATGAGACTCGAGTACCTGCAACACAACAGACAAGTCTATGATGAGAATGAGGAAGTTGGAGGGTCTTCCAGCACATCCGGTAGTGCCGATTTCGCGGTCGTAATATATCTCCGACAATACCATGTAATCTGACACATACACCCTTGGCACGAATATGCATGCACTGACAGTTCCGTGCCAAGATAGGCCCCAGGTCCATCATACTTGGTTTGTTTTTGTCTGGCCCGTACTACTTTCAAGACTTGTATATAGGTCTATTTTATGCGATTGGAATATTTCTCACTTTGGCAAGGGTCATCAGCCGATAACATTCCTTTATGTATGTGTTATACTTTCTATTGTTTTTGTTGAATGCCACACACGGTAAAACTTCAGCTGTATGTCGGCGGCTGTATTGTTTGTTGTTTCTCAGCAATATTCCATTTACGCGGGGACAGGCTGTAAATAACCCAGACAGTACATCAACTGATAAGGATGACATGAATCCACGCCGATCCATCTGTAGCCTCTTACAACCAGTATCACGATGACGGAGAGATACTCTGACGTGGAATTCCCAACGGGTTGCAATATATACCGAACACGGGTGACATAGTGCGCTAAAACATTTCAGCGAGGGAAATGTTTGCGAGGGATGGGATAGTATTGCGAGACAACAATAGTGTTATTGAGAGGGAACCCGAAGATTTTAGCGAGGGTATGCTATACATATCTGTTTACCATGGCAGAATGGAGCCTCCATGTTAATCTTCCTATAATTATTATGTTCTTACATATTTAGCATCAGCCCATCCACTCTTCGGCGACCACATCTTCCCCTCTCCCATCATGCCTAGCGCGAGATGAGAGAGAGGTGCAAGGTCTCCGCTAGCCCCCACCGATCCCTTCTGGGGAACCCATGGAAGGCAGGATGCTGAAAGATTGGGAGAAATCACACTAGCAGAAATACCAACAGATCTCCGTAAATACAACAAAAATAGTCGTTTTCTACATTTTTGTCAATGATTTGTGCATTGTAATTGTGAACAAATATTCATTCTAAACGAATAATACATTTGATTTGTGAGTGCACTTACCATTAAACGCTGCCATATACTGTCCCAGAGTTTCCAAGGAGATGCCACTGTAGCCCTTGGCGAGGACATTGATACGCAGAGCCAGCAACATCCGGGTCCTCTCGGGGGACAACGGGGGACCAACACCTACGGGGTAGAAGCACAAAGTTGTAAACCAGTTCTTAATGTTTAGGAGGTCATTCTTTTCCAAATTTTTCAAAAACATAGTTGTATTTTTTGGACACGTCTGCAAGTACATGTGACTTTATTGTATTCCTACAATAGGACCATATGTAAAATAACCCAATCCTTCACATAGTTGCTCTCTAAGGCCCAGTTAGAAGGTACGTTCACCCTGTCGTAATCCCAGCGTCTGGGGCACTACAGCTCTGTATGCAGGGTTACCTACCCTTGGCGTTCCAGGAACAGCCGAATTTATACACGTGTTCGTGGGTGTTATAAGTGGTTAACGTCAAATACATGCAAAACTTTGGATTATTCTTCCCGCATCTTGGGCGGTTGGGCAGCCTAGTAGTTAAAGCGTTCGCTCGTCACACCGAAAGCCGGGGTTCGATTCCCTACATGGATACAATATGTGAAGCTCATTTCTGGTGTCTGGTGGTTGCTGAAATAATGCGCAAAGTAGCGTAAAACCAAATTCACTCATTCACTCTTCCCGGAACAACTGGACAATCAATTATTCTTCAAGGCGGCGTTAAACCCAACTCACTGAACCACCCACCCACCCACTCACTCACTCACTTATGAAGAAAATCTGAAAGTCCTATACCTGCTGCATGGGAGCGGATGAGGTTTTCTTGGAGTTCTCTACAACACAATCCAAACATTAGCATGTTTAAACATTGCATATTTTTATTGAAACAGACGAAATCTATTCAATTTCACACATCGTCAATAAGCAACTTCTTTCAAATGCTGTCAGAATCGTCGTAAGCACACTAACACACTCAAGATTTGATGATCACTTTATGAGTGAGTGACGGTTTTATGTCTCCTTGTACAACATTTCAGTGAGAATATGACGTGGCTAAATGCGTGATGACAAGAGACTTTCACAGGTCGTCCATGTTTGTCCCGTTGCTAAAACCTACGATCACGAATATTGCATTTGCTGAAAATCAGGATCCATAGTCAGGACGATATGACATTTGAACAAATCAGCGGATCCTGCTACAACTAACAAAATGTAATTGCTGCACCTCGGGGAAACTGCTTTGGCCGCCTTTGCCTAAATACTTCGTGTAATTTCAAACAGGTGTTATTTTTTAAATTTCATATCATACACGCTGATGACCCGGGTTCGATTCCCCACATGGTGCAATGTATGAGGCCCATTTCTCGTGTCCACGTCATCATATTGCTGGAATATTGTAAAAAGTGGCGTAAAACAATACTCACTCACTCAGCCCTCTCACCCTCGGCTCTCGGGCCGGCATGAAGGTCTGTTTTTCACGAGTGAGTGAGCAAGTTTAGTTTTAATCCGCACCCAGCAATATCCCAGCTATATGGCGGAGGTCTGAAAATAATCGAGTCTGGACCAGACAGTCCAGTGATCAACAACATGAGCATCGATCTGCGCAATTGGGAACCGATGACATGTGTCAATCAAGTCAGCGAGCCTGACCACCGATCCCGTTAGTCGCTTCTTACGACAAGCATGGGTTACTGAAGGCCAATATTCTAACCCGGATCTTCACGGGTCCTGTTTTTCACGAAACACCAGTAACGCTTGCACACACAAGATGGATGTATCTCAAAACTATTGTCAAGTCTGTGGTCTGTGGCAGAACGCGCAAACAAACTTTTGTAGATGAGCATGAGACCCTTGTTTTTGTACTGTGGTAGGGCAAGCATTGTAGACGTGTCCAACTTTCATATTAGTAAAAAATATATTACGTACTGGTGTATCTCAATTGTAACTAATTCACTTCAGATACTTTTTTAAATTCACACACACTGTAATATAAACGGTATTTTAAGGAGACTCTAACAGATGTATTTGCTATTTACTATTCCAATTTCCTTTTATTTATTTATACTTTGTGTAAAAGAAGATGTGTTGATGTACTTACACAAGTTTATCTTTAGGTATGGTAGTCCGAGCAAATTTACCAAATCCTGTTGTGATTCCATAGACAACTGGAAAAATAGGAAACACAGTCTGTAATCTAAATGAAAAGCTAGATTGGTAGACACCAGCGGCAGTTACCCGTGACTCAAGACGACGGACAGAGACCGAGCAATGTATCTCAGAACTCGATGATGTTTAGTAACCATTGTTTACCTTTTTAACACCCTGGGCAGCAAATAACCAATTTCAATATTCATCAAAGTTCATATATATCATTGCATTGCATAAATGCAAATGTTCACATTTTCATTGGCCGTGTAGTAATTATATGAACGTGACATCGGTCAATATTGTCCTACTTGGCCCCGCCGTGCAATATTGCAAAAGAGGCGTAAAACTACCTCATTCACTCTTCTTTGGTCCATATTGCTAAAAGCGGCGTAAAACCATACTCACTCACTCACTCTTGGGTCCATAAACACTGGTACTGACTTTTTAAAAGTCTTTAATCGTGTTATGTACATGGACTTAGAACAATTTCCACAAAGCGATTGCAACATGTCGATGGTGGTAATTCATTCTTTTTCAGACAATTCTGGAAATAAGATCGCTTTACGAATCCGGGCCATGGTATAGAACACCGTATGTACTCATTCGTATTTTTAGGCGAATTTTGAAAAAGACTTTGCATTTTAATATCCATCAATGATAAGTGTGTAATTGATAATGCGTGAACTGTTTCCTTCGACACTTTTTTTTGCAATGATCGCGATGTGATGTCATAAATTACCTTTATTACTAGCGAGTATCTCATCCACAAGGTCACGTGACTTCTGTACGTTTTGTTCGGCCTCGGTTGTTAACTGGGGAAGGAAGGTCATTAACGATTGTCTTAATGACTGTCATCCACAATGTGTCGATATTATGTTGAACTACATTGACATTGGATAAATACACAGGTGTTAAAGTGGACAATCAAGTTGAACATTGTCCGTATCTCCGGCAAATATTGTTTCTAGTACTGTGGCGTGATGCAACTATTACCGGATGTTGTCTTACATGTCACTGGTCTATTTATCATTTTAAACACCTTAACACATACATAGTGCGACTATTACTACACCACCACTACTACTACTACTACTACTACTACTACTACTACTACTACTACTACTAGCACCACTACCACCACAACATCCATTTCTTCTACTACTACTACTGCTACAACACTTACCGCTAGTACTGCTACAACACTTACCGCTAGTACTGCTACAACACTTACCGCTAGTACTACTACAACACTTACCGCTACTACTGCTACAACACTTACCGCTAGTACTGCTACAACACTTACCGCTAGTACTGCTACAAACTTTACTTACCGCTAGTACTGCTACACACTACTTACCGCTAGAGTACTGCTACTACGCTACGCTACTACTGCTACCGCGCACTTACTACTACTACTACTTCTTTACCGCTACCGCTAGTACTGCTACAACACTTACCGCTAGTACTGCTACAACACTTACCGCTAGTACTGCTGCTACTACTACTACAATTACCGCTATTACTGCTACTACACTTACCGCTAGTACTACTACTACACTTACCGCTAGTACTGCTACAACACTTACCGCTAGTACTGCTACAACACTTACCGCTAGTACTGCTACAACACTTACCGCTAGTACTGCTACAACACTTACCGCTAGTACTGCTACAACACTTACCGCTAGTACTGCTACAACACTTACCGCTAGTACTGCTACAACACTTACCGCTAGTACTACTACTACACTTACCGCTATTACTGCTACAACACTTACCGCTAGTACTGCTACAACACTTACCGCTAGTACTGCTACTACAATTACCGCTATTACTGCTACAACACTTACCGCTAGTACTGCTACAACACTTACCGCTAGTTTACCGCTAGTACTGCTACAACACTTACCGCTAGTACTACTACTACACTCTACCGCTAGTACTGCTACTACACTTACCGCCAGTACTACAACACTTACCGCTAGTACTACTACTACACTATTACCGCTACTACTGCTACAACACTTACCGCTAGTACTGCTACAACACTTACCGCTAGTACTACTACTACAATTACCGCTAGTACTGCTACAACACTTACCGCTAGTACTGCTACAACACTTACCGCTAGTACTGCTACAACACTTACCGCTAGTACTGCTACAACACTTACCGCTAGTACTGCTACAACACTTACCGCTAGTACTACTACTACAATTACCGCTATTACTGCTACAACACTTACGCCAGCTAGTACTGCTACAACATTTACCGCTAGTACTGCTACAACACTTACCGCTAGTACTACTACTACACTTACCGCTAGTACTGCTACAACACTTACCGCTAGTACTGCTACAACACTTACCGCTAGTACTACTACTACAATTACCGCTACTACTGCTACAACACTTACCGCTAGTACTGCTACAACACTTACCGCTAGTACTACTACTACAATTACCGCTATTATTGCTACTACACTTACCACTAGTACAACTACTTACCGCTAGTACTGCTACAACAACACTACCGCTAGTACTACTACTACTTACCACTAGTACTACTACTACACTTACCGCTAGTACTGCTACAACACTTACCGCTAGTACTGCTACTACACTTACCGCTAGTACTGCTACTACACTTACCGCTAGTACTGCTACTACACTTACCGCTAGTACTGCTACTACACTTACCGCTAGTACTGCTACTACACTTACCGCTAGTACTACTACTACACTTACCGTTACTACTGCTACTACACTTACCGCTACTACTGCTACAACACTTACCGTTAGTACTGCTACTACACTTACTGCTAGTACTGCTACTACACTTACCGCTAGTTCTGCTACAATACTTACCGCTAGTACTACTACTACACTTACCGCTAGTACTGCTACTACTGCTGCTGCTTCTGCTGTTGCTGCGCTAACACTACTGTATAACTGATACTGCAAATACTACCACTACAACTACTACTACTATCACTACTACTACTACTATCACTACAACTACTACTACTATCACTACAACTACTACAACTACTACTACTTCTACTACAACTACTACTACTACAACTACTACTACAACAACAAACTACTACTACTACTACTACTATTACTATTACCACCACCACCACCAATACAATTTGTACTATTCTGCCACTTCTACTACTCCTTCCACTACCACTACCACTACCACGCCTCCAGACCGCCTCCTGTGGTGTAGTGGTTAGAGCGTCCGCCCGGAGAGCGGAAGGTCGTGGGTTCGATCCCCAATCGCGTTACCAAAATACGTTAAAATATGGTACTTGTTGGTCCCTGCCTGGCGCTCGGCTTTAATGGGTACAACAAGGACTGGTCGGCTCGGAGTCAGTATAATGTGTCTGAGTGGGGTATTCATGCTTCACTGCGGCATGGTATCTCAGTGGGCTAGCACTATTAAACCAGCTTAAGTCTGGGCTAGTACAAGCAGCCGCACATACACACACACACGCATGCACGTCGTCATATGAGCGAAATATTCTCAAGCACGACGTAAAACCCCATTTCACCTCAACTCACTACCACGCCTCCACTGCCCTGCTCACCTTCACAAGAAACTCTCCTTTCCCAAGTCTCACGAGATCGTCCGCGGCTAAGCTGTTTCCATCCAGCGAGATATACTGAAGGCATTAGAAACGTTGCTTGTTACATGACGAGGTGTACCGCCACATCAATGGATGTGGATGTAGTGCGAGGCGGTCATTTTTAGTTGACATCACTGTAGTTATTTATTAAATCATGTCCATATAGAATCTAGAATTTGCGATATGTCCGTTGACCTTAAAGGAAAATATGGAATATGGTTAGCCCAGTCGCTTAATGCGCCACTATTTGCAGCCTGGTTCCCGGGGTCTGCTGCGCTACGCTTCAACACTGACCCCGGCAAAGACGACAGAATGGCGGCCTTCACTATTTGGCGACACGCCATATATTTACTGCAGAAATATCCGAGAACGGGTGGTTAGAAACTTTTCATAATTTATCATTTTCATCGATACTATGGCAAAGTATATGTCACCAGAACAATGCCCATCCCACGAACACGTTAATTGAGCAGTTTGGAGACACGAACGTCCTCGTTACATAGGCGACACACACACCATTCTCAACACTGACATGTGCGTTGATATTTCGTCACGAAATCGTATGCATAAAACATGTATCTGAACGACCACATTGATTATATATAGCTAGCATCAAAGCAAGAAGGTTACATACCAACATTATTCAGAAATGTTTATGATTGTAATAATCATGGTGAATGATATTACCTGTATACAAAGATACACACATATACACTGGCCAATGCAATGATTTTGACACATTATTGGACTAATTAATTGAATATATAAAAATACACAGTTTGATGAAGTTAAAACATTACCATGAAATTAGATACATTACCATAAAAATACATACATTACCATAAAAATACATATAAAATAACTTTCTAGACAGATGTACATTCCATTATTTGTGAGCTTGTTAATTAAAGGTAATTCTTACCAATGAAACCCGTCCTGAGTACTGTAATTTTAATGGCATGGAGCCATTATTAGAGTATGCATTTGCTATATATACTCATGCCAATAATGGTTGTCACCCCCCTTCAATTTTATTAATTGGAGAGGGTGTGTGGGGGGTTGGGGTGGGGAGAGGGTGACAACCATTATTGGCATGAGTATATATACATCATTTTGAATTCTTGTAATTAGAATACATCTGCTACAAGTCCATAATCATGCAGTTTGTTATCAGCAATTATTCAGCCAGATAACAAAACACTTATTGGGTTATCAACCCGATGAAAAATGGAAGAGTAGATAATATGGGTGTTATATTGAAATGATTTATGACATTACCAGATGAAAATTAATAATAAATATGTTCTTTATTATTATTCCATTTAGCAATGACATTTGTTTTACATTGTTAAAAAAATAGATGGCTGAATTCATCAGTTATGTGTTTCACATGTTTTAGATCTATTCATAATTAGTTTTATAAGGTGGTAACAACATAAATACAGTCGGTTGGACAAATATCCGACTCCACCACTGAACATCACTACTACAGATCAAAGGTACAATGTTCTAGTTACTATTACTGGGCGTTCGGTTTATTTCCAACAGGTGAAAATGGGCCCACACCATCGAAACATACGTAACCAAATTTGATAAAATAAAGATGCTAACTACGAGGGGCGTCCCAAATGTATTCGGCCTCACCTAGAAACTTTATACAAATGCAACCATTTTTATGTTTTATTTTGCTACATATTATCTGTCAACCTCAAGCAAATTGCTTTTGACATGTTTCAGCCTCATGATCCCCATTTTGTTTGACTCTTTATCTTGGTACCCAAAAACCCGCAAAATCTGCAAAAAATGCATCACAAACTTTAGGATACAAAATATGCAAGACATCATTTTGTGTGTTTGAGATAGGCAGAAATCCTCTTGAATCAAACATAGATATTAAAGTGCATAAAAATCCAATTTGAAACTACAATCGCTTGTTAAAGTGACTCCCCCATGATGTTTACTGAAAGAGCTTGTTTAGGAGACACTACCCAACCCCTTTCAGATGACGTAATCATAAGCACATAATTTAGTGTCAGCACTCAATATATTGTAAACGGTGCCAGCTTGAATATCTGGACACAATGTTTTGGAAAGATTAAAATGGGGATGATACAAAATGGGAGATACAAAATGACAGATCGTTTTACACTTTCTGCAATTTTTAAAGAAATATTATACCCCAATGTGTTGTGATGACTAATATGTCGTTAACATCATTACCCACTTATGTGAAATTTTGGATATGGCTTTGGTAATGATTCCTTCAAAATAAAATGGAGGCTTTTTCTAACACTGGACATCGAGAACATAGTTAGGCCGACTACTTTTGGGACGCCCCTCGTATATGTAATCAATGTGGTCGTTCAGATAAATGTTTTATGTGTACGATTTCGTGACAATAGCGAGCTGACATGAAATATCAACGCACATGTCGGTGTTGAGAATGGTGTGTGTGTGTGTGTGTGTGTGTGTGTGTGTGCGCGCGTGCATGTGTGTGTGTCATAGTTTACATTTCGCCCATGTAACGAGGACTTTCGTGTCTCGAAACTGCTTAAATAACCTTTTCGAGCTCTAAAAGTAACGATGGCCGTTGTTCTGGTGACGTATACTTTGCCACTGTATCGATGAAAATGCTATGAAAAAATCCCGGTATTGAAGGCCGCCATTGGCCGCCATTGGGTAGTGATTGCCGGGGTCAGTGTTGAAGCGTAGCGCAGCAGAGCAGGGGAACCAGGCTGTACTATTCGATCTACAGAGACGTGCCAGAAACCTATGATCGTTCGTCCTGATTTCTTTTCGAGCTGATTGTGTTTCTTGGTGTGCCACCTCGACCGTTTCACCAAAATTCCTGAGACCTGCATCACTTGGGCTTTCCTCCAAGTTTAGGTATAAGTGGATTACTGTTCCAGATCGGCGTTAAACTCACTCACTCACTCACTCACGTAATAGGAATCTACTCACATCTGATGCCGTCTTCACACTGGCTTTAGGTCTGAGTATACAGGTCAAGGAGTCAACAGAAGTTTAAACAATGTAGTGTTGCCCAGTCAGATCGGCTCAATCGTAACTACTCGCCTCTTTCCGTGACCTACACGCTTGCCGGAATGACACGAGTAGTTACGAATGATACCGGCTTATAAACGTCGCATCCGTTATCATATGATGAAATTGGATAAAACAAATTTGCGAGGGTTAGGGGGCATATCCCACCATCCGTTTTATAATTGGTCATTCAAAGGTACTGTACAATTCATTCTATATGAGAGTTATTAGATTTTAGATTTACTTTCTGTTCGTGAGCAAAGGTAACTCCTCAATACCTACAGGTAATGCGGCGAGGATTAAGTCTCATGACGTGAACCCGTGAAGATCCGGGTTAGAATTGATCTTCAGTAACCCATGCTTGTCGTAAGAGGCGACCAACGGGATCGGGTGGTCAGCCTCGCTGACATGGTTGACACATGTCATCGTATCCCAATTGCATAGATCGATGTTCTTGATGTTATCAATGGATTGTCTGGTCCAGACGATTATTTACAGGCTGGAATATTGCTGAGTACGGCATTAAACAACAGCCAAACAAACGTTTCATGGCGTAATCTTGTGTAAACATGTATGATCATTTAGATGGATAGTCAAACTTTGCTTGTACGGCGACGTGAATGGGAATGGGATTTAACGCTGCCTTCCATATCACTGCACTTATACAGCAATGTTCATAGGCATGCGTGTGTGATTGTGAGACTACTTGTAGTCCAGGTTTATTCCGGTTTAGTAAAGGAAGCCCACTGATATACCATGCCACAGTGTACACACCGACCTGACCAGTCATGTGTAGAATGGGATATTTCAGTTGACTAATATTCTATACACCTATTAAAATATCCTTCATCTGCCTTTGTTTCCATTCTATCCTCCAAAAATGAAAATGTAATACGTAATCTAGCGCTTTATGTAAAACATGCTGTTATCCTTAGAAGCAATATCTTAACTGAACTGTAATTTCTTTTGTAAAATGTCTGTAACATGTGCTGTATATATACTTGTAATACTTGTATATGGGCCGGAGGACTTAAGTACAATAAATATCTTTGACTTTGACTTTGACCATATTAGATCTAACCAAAGGATACACTTTCTCCTCCATGTACACGATCTCAGCCGGTCCGGTTACCGGACTTGACATGTCACTGTCCAGAACTGCAAGAGAGAATACATATGACATTTTCCGCCTGTTAACGATAAAACGTTTCGACTCCGAGTTCAGACAATTTGGACACTGGATGTCACGAAAGGGGAAGCATCTGTACTGGTAGACGTAAACACGATGATGATATGCCTGATGGAAGGACATTTTGATGTCTCTCTCTCTCTCTCTCTCTCTCTCTCTCTCTCTCTCTCTCTCTCTCTCTCTCTCTCTCTCTCTCTCTCTCTCTCTCTCTCTCAGTGGGACAAACATTAAAATACACAATAATGCTTATCAACACGACTAGGTGGTTCCCGCTGACATACAGTAGGGTGCGAGGCACCTGATGTCGTCCTGGGAGAATCACAGATGGCTTCTGGCCTGACCTAGGCTCGAGGAAAGTTGACATGTAAGATTCATAACAGATATGTTATCTTTGTCAAACACTGATTTGGTAGAAAAATAGATCTGATTTCAGAGGTGTTAATCCAACTGTCGGTATAAAGAATTACCAAGAGTCCAAATGATGCTGGTCTGCCGAAGGTCGTTAAATCAATCCGTAATAGATAGAAGGTTTTAAACCCAACTCAAACAGTGTCCTCTCCCAATACTATGAATTATTAATCATGATATTTTAATAACCAACTGCAATTTCAAAATACTAAATCTATATGTTAAGGTATATACAAATTATAATGTACTCACTAATATGCAACTGTAATTAATGCTAAAGAATGAAGTAAGCCAGATCATAGGCAAACTGTAGCGCAAATAGGTTGCGCAACATAGAGAAAATGACCAGTCTTCTATATGCGAGCGAAGCGAGCAAAGGTTGGCAACGTACTTCCCTCGCTTCGGTTCGAAAAATATTTTTAATGCCAAAATAAAATATCGCTACCATCAAAGGTAGACAGCCATTTCCTCACAGGGTTGTGTTCTCAGATTTCAAATCTCATATTTAATTATTACTCACGTAAATATATTTTATTCCACATTTTAAGCGTCACTCGGGGCATATCAGATCGTTCTTCGCCTCCATTACCCCTGGCAGATTCCGGTTCAACGGAATGAAGGAACAAGAATGAGCAGAATTTAAAAAGAAATATCATATTGCCCAATATTACCAGTAAACTGTTGCAGATTATTGATCTTATCTGCCGTCATCATTGTTAGAATTGTCGTTATATTTATTTTTAATAAAACCCACTTCTGACGCGCGGGTGAATGAAGGCAAGGACGTGTGATTCAACAAGAATAATGAAAGTTAACCCCCCTGTTCCTTCACTCCGTTGAACCGGAATCTGCCAGGGGTAATGGAGGCGAAGAACGATCTGATATGCCACGAGTGACGCTTAAAATGTGGAATAAAATATATTTTACGTGAGTAATGATTAAATATGAGGTTGGAAATCTGAGAGCACAACCCTGTGACGAAATGGCTGTCTACCTTTGATGGTAGTGATATTTTATTTTGACATTAAAAATATTTTTCGAACCGAAGTGAGGGAAGTACGTTGCCAACCTTCGCTTCGCTTGCATATAAAAAGACAGGTCATTTTCTCCCTGTTGCGCAACCTATTTGCGCTACAGTTTGCCTGTGGACTAACTGAGATCTTCTGCGACATCTCATCCTTCAGAACGATTACAAATAAACACTAGACGAACTTGACATGTGACTAACGCCAGTGTCAAACGTCTGTTGGACGGTAACCAGTCGGAGGCATCCCCGACAACGGTGTCAAACAGTCGCTAGACTCACTCAACTTATCCCATTTATATCAAAATATAAATGGGTGTGAGTCGGGTGAAGGACGAAGCAGAACCTTCGTCACGGGAGTGAGGAAATCTTGTGGAAAGGACAGCTTCAAAGAAGTTGACAATGCCGTGTACCTATAGTCTGTTTGCAGTGAAAACGTACCGATGAATTTCACTTTAAACAAAGTAAATCAAATAGAGTGAACTTTACCTTGCCAACTGAACATTAAAATCTCAGAATTCTATTCAACTTAGGATAAAAGTTGTTTAACAAACGATCATAGTTTCAAATCGGTATTATTGGTTTCTATTACAAGGGGGTATGCACATTAAATGAAACCCCGAGAACAAGAAGTGTTGGTTTCTACGGTAGTCTAAGTTAACGCTCATCACGCCCCGCACGTGCATTTGTTTCACTGTTCCAACTACTGTGCGTACCCCCTTGTAATACAAACCAGTAATAGCGATTTGAAACTATGATGTGTGATGATGATGACGATGATGATGATGATGATGATGATGAACTGAAGAATGGTAAACATTTGGCTTACAACGTATCTGGACTCAAGCCTTTGTTCTTCATAAAATTCAGGTGAAACACAAGCCCCAAGTCTATACAGAACACGTAACACAGAAATATTTATATATGAAACAAAGCAGATGAAAATGTTCTGGCTGATGTTGGCTCTATGTTGAAGATTATCATCCAAATCACCAGTTATTTCTCTCACGCACCTTTGTTGGAAAAGATATTTCATCAGCTGAAAACAATGGCTTCATCAACAGACCAAAAGGTCATCAAAGACAAAATTCAAACTTCCATCAAACGCTCATTGATGACAGGGATTCTTACTCAAGTTCCGAGGTAATAGGACAATACTGAGCCTCAATCCACCTGATCAATAGTGAAAGGACATATAAGTTTTCCTGGGCTGTTTAGTTTCATTTCGGTACATTAATATGGAACTACTAATAAGAACTGACAATGGAACGTAAACGTACCACTGCAACCATTGAAGAATAGTGGGGTGTGAAAGAAAACAGCATTTTTATGTTGGGGGTATTATCAGACATGGCCCACCCGGTTTAAAAACACATGAGAAGAACAAGAAGAAATAATGAAAATATAATATTGGTTTAATTAATATTGCCAGACAAATGAAAATGTGAAATATATATTTGTAGAATATTCCTTTTTGGTCTTATGCATTTCATGTGAAGCTGAGCTGAGATGCTGTTTAAATACATTATATCTGACGGGTCTGTGTTCTATACATCATTCACATTACATTTGATATTGACAATTCAATATGTTTAGTGGGATATTGATAAGCAGCATGATAAAGGGATGAAATTACAGCTCTTCACAATAATTTGCTTTCTAATTACAACAGCACTGATATTTTCAAACGAAAATATAATTATTTATGCAACAAAGGTGAATAGGTGCAATTATTACAGAAATACAGTTCGCTATAGTGTTAAAGAGTACAGTGCCTTCAACTATACTCATGCCAATAATGGTTGTCACCCCCTGCCCACCCCAACCCCCCACACACCTTCTCCAATTAAAATAATTGAAGGGGGTGACAACCATTATTGGCATGAGTATATTATAGTTGAAAGACGAGGACACTAAGCATCTTAGAATTCAAATATTTAGTTAAATATTTACATGAAAAGATATCAGAGGACTAGTTGTTCACATTAAAGTTTCTCTGACACAAAGCTTTGAAAATGAAAATATATTTCAGGATTTCACAAAACATCTGCTGGCTATTCGGTTATGGCCCGGGAAAGCGAAATCTGGACCAAACCTCCTCAATTTAGGTGTCGCTTTCGCGGGAACGGTCAAGCTACAGTGAACACTGAATTTAGCGTTCCCGGGACACTCAATACACAAGACCAAACAAATTGTGAGTCGTCGTCTGATACCGTAGTCATGGTAGAAATGTTTTTGTATGTACATTACTAGCAAGTTTAAACCTAACTGCAATTATTCACTTTTTAATGTATACGGTCCAGTCTCTCCATAGAGCATGTAGGATGGTGTACTCTAGCGTAGTTTCAGGACAGATTTATTGAATAACCTCTGAACATATCACTGATATCTCTAACAGTATTGTCGATTGCGGTGGTTGGGTCACTATGACCTGCACGTGCCACTCGTATTCCTTTCACAAGTAGGGTCACGTACATGCTGAAACTTGAATCACTTGAAGTTTCATCTCAGTTAAGATGTTTTCATAGCAATTCGCGGCACTTCTAACAAAACTTTGGTTTTCGCTTTACTGGGAACAGGGAATATTGAAATTTCGCTTTCCTGGGCCGACACCTGCTATTCTATATTCCTGTATATCTTAAGACAGGCGCATAAAGTTAGTGAGGGGATGGATCGCATGACTAGAATGTCAGTCAAATTCGTCTTTCCAAACCCCTCCCTCCCTATTGGACAAGGGCTGGTAGAGGTTATTTGTGCTACCACTTAGATCTCACTTACCGCAGGAGTAGGAGGTGTAAGACGGCAACAGAGCTGAACCCCATAACATTCCTCCAATGTAGTAGAAGTGAGTATGGTTTTATGACGCTTTTAGCAATATTCAAGCAATATCACCGCGAACGACACCAGAAATGGGCTTCACACATTCTACCCATGTGGGGAATCGAACCCGGGTCTCTGGCGCGGCGAGCGGACGTTTGAACCACTAGACTACTCCACCGCCCCTAGATCATAGTTACGCTTCCTTACAAGAAAGCCATTATGGCTATTCTTTGACCTGGCTTAATTCATACCTTGTCATTAATTACGTGATTCAATTTATCTAATTCGTACATACCTTTACGTGAATTAGCATTCTAAAATTACACTTCGTTCCCTCCAAAATATTATGAATATAATTCATAATAACGGGGTAGCTGAAGTTATTAAATGTATGTTACTGTCGTGATAGGATTGAAAAACTGTTCAAAGAGGCTCACTCCGCACTCCCGTGGGTATCGATATAGTCTCAAGATACGCATCATCTCGATTATCGATATTTTGATTTTCAATCAGCCGTAAATTATACATACTGTACAACATTTACAGAGTTTCGGTCTACCGTCGTTACCTACCAACAGTGACGAAGTCGTTGTCATCCAGGACGTCCCTCACGGCGTCGTCGGGGTCCAGTATAGCCCCACCCTTAGCTTTGCGAATCTCATACACAGTCTCCTCTGCATGACCAACATTGCTCTTCGTCTTGTAGTACCGCTTCAGCCCCTCGCCTCCAAGCCAGGAGATCTTCTCCTTGCCATTACAAGGAAGCGCCAACCATTCCCCCCTAATCCTCAGGGAAAGCTTCATCGTAAACTACGGATCTCCCACGCAAGAGTATAACGTTGACGATCAGTGTTCAAACAGTGTTCTGTCAATGGCTGCCATCGGCAAGATGTTGTCTTATAAAGCCTATCGTCAATGCCTACGTCACAGTGGTGGACAGATAAGGGCTGTGTTGGAAACACCGCGCGATCCAGATCAGGCACCACACAGAATAACCATTGTAAGTATGTTTATGTCGGTCACAAATTACATTGGATATATTTCATAGTGGAATTACAACAAACGTTTGGATTTTGTTGACGGTTTTATATCCACCAGTGACTAATTTGATATGAAACATAAAGATTAGTATTGTCAACTCTCTTTATTCCATTACTGAAGAGGCCACAGGCCTATAGTACAAAATATAAAACAATAATGGCATACAATCACAATGTTTGCAAACGTTATTTTCTATGTTCAAAAGCATGGTGGATATACATACCAAGTTTACGAATATAAGTTGTATTATTAGAGTTCATTATCAAAATTAAATTTAAACATGGTAGGATGTAAATAGTAATATTGTGGTAGATATTTTGTCCTTAAATCAGCATAGTAAGGACATACCAGCAAAAAGTGGAACTCATCTTCAATTACATTTAGTGCACAAAATTTGCACAATCTGTTTTCTCTTGGAATATTATAATATCTGCCCTTCTCGATCATAAGATCATGTGAAGAGCATCTAAATCTGGATAATGAAACGTGGAATTTTCTAAGATTAATATCGTGTAGGTATTTCTCTGTATGGTAAAAAGATTTAAAAGTACTGTAAAAAGTGGATTTGGGCGACTGTATTAAAGATGAGTTCCAGGTCTGAATGTACATATCTTTTAATCTTTGCGATAAAGCATTATAAAATGACTTTGGGCAGTAAATTTCTAACATTCGTTACCCAATTTGATTTTCCGTAGGTGTCAAACAAATACTTCATGTTATAACATTTCTTAGGAAATCTTGATGCAGGCATATTCAAGAGATATACCCAGTATTTGATAACCTTTATCTGTGCTTCTAGATGAAGTGGGAAGCGACCGCATTCACCATAGATCATCACATTTGGGGTATTTAATTTAACACCTAAGACTTTTTTACAGGCGTACAAGTGAACCTTTTCCAATGCTTCACCGAGAAAACCCCCAAACTTCTGCCCCATATAGCAAAATTGGTTTAATTTTTGTATCAAATATTTTGAAATATGTTTTGAAATTTACATTGCCCAATTTCTTTAAATTACTGTAAATGCCCATAAAAACCTTTCGTCCCTGTAAAGCAGCACTATTACCATGATGATACCATGACAACGTATTGGCAAATACCCCTAGATATTTATATCCTTTAACACCTTCTAAGTAGTCTCCGTTATAAAGCCATTTTTCTGATTTGGACAGTTTACCGCCATTCTTAAAGACAATAACCTTTGTTTTATTTGCATTTACATTAAGCTTAAATTCACGGCAATGGCTTTCCAGCAAGGTAATTTGTATTTGTAGATTAGTATTACAACAGTTGAAGTCGAAACACTTCACAAAAATAGTACTATCAGTTAATATCCCGAAAACTTTGCAAGACTGTACACAGCGATTCCATAACCGATTACACCCAAGTGCGAAGTTTGTTGCCTGAAGACAAAATATTAAAATGCATCCTCACTAAACAGTTATCCAAAAACGCGTATCTGTTCTAAACCAATATTAACTGAAAAAATTGAAGGGTAGTCGATGACGCAGCTTAAATTGGCGTGTGCAGTTCATATACCAAAAGCATATCTTGATGAACAGTGGTATATAATTACTTTGTAGACATGAGCTGGTTGGACTGGCGTCGGTTCAGACCCAGTCGAACTTGTCCACTTGATTTAGTGTATGTCTGTATAGCTTTAAACTTGGTGATAATACACATTTGGCGAGTAATAATTAATCTAAATCGATTATGAATTTCAAGTTTAAATGATAAAAAAGTTTTAAGTTCCGATCCACTGGAAAACAGGCTCCATGTGATGACTGTGCTGTCATTACTGACTTGTGACCTTGATCTTGTATCATGACCTTGAACGTAACGACAAAAGAGGATGGTAATACCTACACCAAACGTTACATGACCGGAAACAGTAATAGTAATAATTTGTGAATGAGTATAGTTTTACAACCAATAAGCTTATAGCATCACTCCAGCAATCTCACGGCGGGGAACACCAGTAATGTCGGTTCATGTGGGGAATCGAACCTGAATCTTCGGCGTGACGAGCGAACGCTTAACCACAAGGCTACCCAACCGACACGTTTCGGGTATGAAGAGGTACTCAGTATCTCATGTTTATAAGAGTCGACTGCGATAAGGAGTAGGTCAACTGTTTGTTAAATGTATGTTCATGCCTGTGACAGTCGACTGATGGAGTCGGATGGACAGGCTCGCTGTCCTAGCTGATGCTTGCCATCATACCTAAATGCGTAGATCGATGCTCATGATATTAGTCACTGGTTTGTCTGGTCCAGACTTGACAGCTTGCACACCACCGCCACATAGCAGGAATACGGCAGACTGTGTCATTAAACAAACAAAGCTTGCATGATCACGTGTCACCCTTCACCGATGACATGCTCGTTGGTCATGCTTTCTTCCGTGTCTGTTATCTCTGATCATGACTCGTCGATTTTCTGTCCAGGGCGATAATGCTGGATAACAACCCGTGAAGGTCCGGGTTAGAATGAACCTTCAGTAACCCATGCATGTCGTAAGAGGCGACTAACGGGATCGGGTGGTCAGGCTCGCTGGCTTGGATGACATGTCATCGGTTCCAAATTGCGCAGATCGATGCTTATGCTTTTGATCACTGGATTGTCTGGTCCAGACTCGATTATTTACAGACCGCCGCCATATAGCTGGAATATTGCTGGGTGCGGCGTAAATCTAAACTAGCTCACTCACTGGATAACACTGTTACGTTAAACATAAGTTACTCACTACAAAAAGCAACCCATATTGTCATCATGTATACATACGTTGCTGGACGCAAATGGGATCATTAATATCTTTTCGAAAATGTTAAATGATAGAAGCAGATAATTCAGTTTTGCAACAAGGGGAGAAACCCATGTTTGAAACGGTCATTTCAGCTATCATCACTCCCAATATCCCCACCACCCCAACCACCCACCCCGACCCACCACCCCTTTTAGGGGTGTAGCTCGGCCTCCTCTTAACAGGTACGGAATTTAATACCAGTGGCAATCTCCAGCTTGCTGGCAAAGTAAAGCAGATGGGTCTACCGGTATAGCAAGATGTATTTGGTATGGTTGGAAAGCTTGGAATCTCCAGTTTCCCAAAACCAATTGCAATGTTTCCAGACTTGAAAGTGTCAGGCAACTTGTCTTTTAACGTTAAGGACATTTCCATGGCAATCATGCTATTATTCAGAACATAACTGCTATATATACAAGGCACATAAAGAAACTGTGCATACAAAAATTGAAAATCTAAATTTATCAAACCTGTGTAGACAGATAAGGATTTAAACTGAGAGATTAGTGACATGTATCTAACATGCATGCACATGCCACGTTCCGTGACGTCAGTGGGTTCGTCCTTGAGACGTGCAATACGTTGTTGCACGTGCATTCCGGGGAAGAGAAACAGAGCAAATGAATGCCATACAATACTGTCACTTTGGAAGCTCAACCCCTGCCCTTGCGATCGTTCAAAAAATTAAACGGCTATTGAAACGCATAGCATGCCAAGGCTCACGTCTGCACAACGTCATGAGGCCACTGGGATGGTCCGTGGGGGAATGTCTCAACGACAAGTGGCTGCACATTTCCACTGCCACCGGAACACCATTTCTGCACTGGTGAGACGCTACCAGAACACAAATGACGTCATCGATCGGCCACGTTCTGGACGTCCACGTGTAACAACGCCAAGACAGGACAGATGGATAAGGGTGACACATCTTCGCCACAGGTTTCAGACTGCAGTGATGACTGCCCGAACCATCCCAGGACTTCGCCGTATCCACCCCAACACAGTTCGACAACGTTTACGTCATCACGGGATCAGACCACGACGTCCCGCCATACGGCCTATCCTGACACAACGTCATCGACAAGCTCGCCGAATGTGGTGCCGAAATCATGTCCGCAGACCCTTGTTTTGGTGGACAAATGTTGTTTTTTACAGATGAGTCCAGGTTTAACATTTCCCATAGTGATGGACGTCAACGTGCCTATAGACGCGTGGGAGAACGTTATGCACAGGCCTGTGTCTTGGAGAGGAATCGCTTTGGTGGTGGTTCCGTGATGATTTGGGGTGGAATAACAGCACGCCAAAGAACTCCTTTGGTGATTGTTCAGGGCAACTTAACTGGTGTGGGCTCATCCGCCAGATAACGTCCTTGACCTTGCAACAGAACTTGGCAGAATCTGGCGTGACATCCCACAAGCCTTCCTTGCACGTTTGATAGGCTCTATGCGTCGTCGATGCACTGCTGTTCTCAATGCCGATGGTGGACATACCCGTTATTTAGCTTGTGACATGGTCGTTTGACCCCTGTCCCGCTTGTGGACTCGTGACGTCATTGTGATTGACTTTTCAATTGAAATTCTCCCGACTTGTTATGGTCTCATGATCCCTCCATTAAAGTTTATATGTACCTTTGACATTGTTATCGTACATATCAACTGGGATAATATTTTGACAATGCACAGTTTCTTTATGTGCTAGAAAAGCTAGAAGGTCAAGGTCAAAGGTTGCGTTGCTAGTCATGCTTGAAATTCTATGCTTTACCTCGCATCTTTCTTAACTACTGAGTATGGTATAAGAACAGCACCATGTATCTAAGACACCTCACAGACTCAGCTTTCTCACAAAATACATTTGAGACCAGTAATTGTGGGACACGTGGGATTTAGGGCGTTTCCATGGTTACCATGCATTTTAGATTGTATCACAGAAATGTATTTAATTTATATCATGCATTATATACTGAACATCATTGAAAACGCACCACTTATAAAAGTTCAGATTATTAAAAGCATGTGTAAGGAATAGATATTTTTTGAGTTGATAATAACAGATGGACGACTGACAAAAACAACAACACAGAAAAGACGCTCATTCATTGAAATGTTCCACAGTCAGAAAGGATCACACACGTGGCGTCAAATCGAAAAGTCAATATCGCGTGTGACCGCCATTTGCATTGACACATGCAGTTCAACATTGAGTCAATAAGCGTCCGAATAGAGTTCTTGAGGATGACATTCCACTTCTGCAGTAGTCCAGCCACAAGTTCCCGGATGTTTTGCATCTGTTGTCGCCGCGAAAGACTTTGACCCATTTCGTCCAACATGTGCTCCATGGGGGATACATCTGGCGACTGTGCTGGCCAATGAATAACCTGGATGTGTTGCTGGGCCAGATACTGCATGGAAAGTCTTGTTGTGTGTGCCCGTGCGTTGTCCTGTTGAAAAGTATGGACATCTTGGTGGTGATTGAAGACAGATACGATGTGGTTCTGAAGAATCTGCTCACGGTAATAAAGGGCATTAACTCTCCCTTGACAGACATGAAGGCTGTCCTGTGATTGTAATTTATTCCACCCCAGACCATGATACTCCCACCACCCAAAGGTCTGTCTGAACCACACACTCATCAGCATAACGTTCACCACGTCTACGCCAAACACGTAATCGACCGTCATCATTACGTAGATGAAGACGTGACTCGTCAGTGACTACGACACCATGCCATTGTTGTAACCTTTACTGAAAATGCCTGCTTGCCCAATGTATACGCTCATTACGGTGTCTGTCAGTCAGAATTGGTCCAACGTAAGGACGTCGAGCATGGAGCCCTGTAGCGTGTAGACGGCGTCGCATGGAGTCAGCGCTGATGACCCCCACGTCAACCTTGAACTAGTGCAGCAGTCCTGGCAGTCGGCAGTGTTCAATCACTGATATGGACAAGGTCAATATGGCGATCCTGATGGAGCGTCGTAACACGTTGTTGCCAAGGTCATTATAGGTCACGGGTGCTGCATGTCTACTGATGTCGTCTATGAAGCCTAACGATGGTGGAGTGGCCAAGTCCAAGTTGTCGAGCAATATCCCTGCTGCTGGTGCCAACCTGAATCATGCCTAGTGCACGTTCTCTTTCGTGAGGTGTTAACCTCGGCATCTCTGTCCTCGTTTCACAATCGTTAGTGAAGCAATGAGAATCGGTTCTCATACACCTGCTTTTAATGTCACAGTCAGTATGATTTCAGAATGAAATTCGCGCTTTTTTTCATGGCGTGGCTGCATGTGGATGCATGTTGATAAAGAGCATTTTGGAATTCAAGACATGCCCTTCATTCATGTTGGACAGGAATTTGTTTCTGAAAAAGCATTTTTTTCAACTGGACATGCCCTTCGACTTCATGTTAGTTATATTCATTGATCTAGGCAATTGTCATGCATTTGAAATCCATCTTGATGAAAATATGGACAATTTTAGACTGGTGCGTTTTTCAATGATGTTCGGTATATCGTGCAGCTATATGGCGGCCAGGACTTTCAATGACAGTCTGTATGTGAATAAATCAAAGATCACATTTACATTTTGCTTTATGCATATGTTCAGTGATTGCTTGTTTAACATACAACTCAACTGTTTACAAACAGAGACATGAAAGTTGTTTAAAGCTCAAGGTCAAGTTGAAGGTCACATGAACATGCTTGATAATTTCAAAAACACTTCAAATTCATGAATTTTGTAGGAAATCCCAACAACAATTGCATATTTTCTTACTTATTGGGGTTTGTAAACACAATTATAAGACAAGTATGATCGGTTCAGATATCAGATTCTCTGCTTTATAAAATCCGATGTTACAATGATGAAAAGTGGTGTATAGTACGATCATGTTTGCTTCAGTAATCGACTATATTTCCGGGTTTACCATGGTATACTGGCTTCATTAAGTCTGAAGATTATATGAAGTAAATCTTGAATGTGTCGAAGTTTTGATAAAGGATTAGTTTAGTTTATTGTTTCATTTTCACGCTGACATTGTGAAATTCCAAATGATTTCAGAAAGTTGTGAAAATACAGAAAATAGGCAAATGTAAATAGACTTACATAATTATATATCGCATAGATATTTGTATAAACTAAACTGACGAGCAAAAGAAAGTACACAGGTTGTGTTTCTTTAATAAGATAAAAATAACAAAACCTATTGATGAAATGGAAAATTATGCTGAAGCACACTACAATACACGTGTTTTATCAGCAAAATGACATTGAAACAATAAACAGCGATGCAGTGATGACCACTGCAGACGGTTCCTACGTCTTGTTGGAAGGTCAAGGCCATTCCACGCAGCGGTCGGTAGGCCCGTACGGTTAAACAGCCGAATTATGGCTTGTCCTGTGCAACCCAATGTCCTTGCAATATGGCTATTGGAAGCACCCATTTGCCACATTCGTGTGGCCCGTTCTCGTTGCGCCGACGTCAATCTTGGCATTTTTCTCGTGGGATTTTTGTCAAGTGATTGTTCAGTCTTCAAGACAAACAGGTTTTATACCCTCTGTAAGAAAAGTGCTCGTGCGAAAATTCGTGCAAAACACGCACAGATGTTTTTGGTTGCATTTTGGCAAATGAAACATGATGGTTGCGTTCTATACTATCAGTGGTCTTCAATAATTTTACTAGTCAGAACGCAAATTTGGAATTGCAGCAACAATTACACCTGTGTACTTTCTTTTGCTCGTCAGTTTATATCCAAAGTTTGTTTCATCTTTATTCAGCTAAGGTCGGAACTTCACATCACAATATTCCATCTACCACCCACGATCTGAAAGTGTTTTCTATGTAGATGTAAGTATTATCTACGTAGATGATGAACATGTTTAGACTATAGCAGCAATGTGCTTCCATGGGTATTTGAGCAGGATCCGGGGCAGTATTCTGTCCCTAGCACCACACACTTCTCTGTCTGAGGGTGTTCTGTGAGAATGTATGTTCATGAATATCTAATGTCTGTCTCCATCTGTTTCTCCATTTCACATTAAGACTGTTCTTTCCAGAAGCACCCGTGAAGATTCGGGCTAGAATTGATCTTCAGCAACCCACGTTGTGCCGTAAGAGGCGACTAAGGGGATTGGGTGGTCAGGCTCGCTGACTTGGTTGATACATGTCATCGTATTTCAACTGCGTAGGCTGATGCTCATGCTGTTGATCACTGGATTGTCTGGTCCAGACTCGATTATTTACAGACCGCCGCCATATAGGTGGAAAACTGCTGAGTGCGGCGTTAAACAACAGCCAAAATAAACCAAATCTTTCCAGAAGCGTTTAAAAAGTATACTTATGTATATTTTATCACCGACAGTGCCGTTTTGAAGAAGAAGAAGAAGTTTATTCAGTATTTGAGGCCACATGGCCAAGAGTACAAACATATAAGAACAATATTGTGCGGATGGACAGACAAAAACAATGTAATTAGTTCATTTTCTTACAGGCAAGTTACGCTTTAGAAAAAATGCTATTGACTTCAATAGATGTGCATTTGTTGTTGTTAAAAGTTGTTTAAATTTTAATCTTGATGGAAACGTATGGTAATAACTAGGTAAGTACAGTTTTCTTTGTACAGAATAGAATGGACACACAAGTAAAAAATGAAATTCATCCTGTGTAACATTAAAATCACATTTGTCACATATCAATACATTGGAATTTATATTATTATTATAACGTTGTTGTTGAACATTTAACTAATGGCTTAAACAGCGGAATTTGCATAAAATGCGTATAAGGTCCTTGTTATGACAAAGTTCCAATATGTATTTTTCAGGTTCGAGGGCGGACTTGATTGCTCCATAGTCTTTTAGAAAAGATGATGTTATCCTAGAGTGCCAATTTTGAATTTCAATATCTTGACATCTTTGTCTAAATTCACTTATAAACGTTTCTATATTCCCACATTCCTGTGTAATCCAAACGTAAGAAAATCCAGTTCGGAATAAAAGTAGACGTAACCCAGTTGCAGCTGCCACTATCGTTTTGCAGCTTTAACATTTCATAACATGATTTGGGATGTCGATTATTGTCCATATGTAATATTCTGCACCAATATTTGATACATCTGCCGTAATATTTAACGCATAATTGGGTCCTGCCAATTTCACCAAGTACAGCATTGGAAGAAACATTTTTATTAACACACAGAAAACGTTTGAAAAAGAAACATTGGATTTTCTCAATGTGAGGACGATATGAATGCCCCCCAGATTTCACTACCGTACAATAATATTGGGGATATCTTACTATCAAATATTGCTGAAGCAACTTTCAAAGATATATGTGGAAGATCTTTAAACATTTTAAATATAGGGAACGAGGCTTTTTTGGCTTGAAGACTTAGTGTTTCACATGTCCTCGACCATATCAATTTTGTGGTAAAAAACAACACCTAGATATTTATAGTGTGATACAACATTCATTTGGTTTCCATTATAGAACCATTTTTCTGATTTCTTGATATATCCACCATTTCTAAATACTACTATACAAGATTTGTCAAGATTGACTTCTAAACCCCATTTTGAGCAAAAACGATACAATGTATCAAGTTTTCTTTGTAAACCAATAACAGTGTCATCAAGTAAGGTAACATCATCTGCAAAAAGCAGTAATAGAATATTATTTAAACCATTTTGGTGAGTTTATATAAAACTGTTTATGAACATTTGGGAGAGACGCAGTAGTATCTGACAAACACAACAGATAACCTATGGCTGGACGTAATCTGTGCCTCTGGAGTCTGTGCCCTTTATGGGCCTGGGACGGACACAGCTGGAGATAACCTACTTCAGGTCAACATAGGTTACCGTAGATCCTGTAATTATGTAGAAAATGAGTACCACTTTTTACTGATTTGTACTGTCTATGATGATCTACGTAAACGTTTTATCCCTGTCGGTGTTTTCACCCATCCAACCTTGCGTAAATTTAATCGACTGATGAGTAATGCTACTCCTCTTGTGTTAAGAAATCTTGCCATGTTCATCTTCTATGCTAACAATCGTCGTCGCTGCAGCTTGAAGGCTGCCAATGTATAACGTTGTACCATGGGCCGATGGCCTACATTTACATGAATAAAGACTAAAGTAATTGGAATAGACGGACTGGCGTCTTTATTACAGACACCATACAGTCGGTGCATACCGTTTCAAATTACCGTAAACATTTTTAGTTTCCATAACAATGGAACGTGTATTTTGATTAAAACATGCGTTTTTTTGCATTGAATGAATAGGTTCTAATCTGAAAACGTGACTCTCACTTTCCTCCCAACTGACACGTGTTGATGTAACTGGAAGACTGCTCCAACCCTCACTCACTCACTCGCGAGTCAATCACTACAGGCGTCATTTCAGGTCGGGCGTCTGTTTTGGGTTTTACGGTAGGTCAGTTTGAAATCTCGCTCACATGTACAGTGAGAATGTCGCCAGTCAGAGATACCCATCCTGCTGAAACCGGTTCATCCCTAATTAGAAACTTTCACGTAATTAAACAGATCGCATTAAAAAGTTACCTATGTTATGATAAACTGTAACTGACGTCCATGACCTGTAGTAATAACAAAGAGGGTCATGACCTGTAGTAATAATAATGCGCAGGCATGTATCTGTGACGGCCCGACTTACATGGGAGATAGATCCAGCGTGTTGTCTGTTTTAGTTGTGACATACGGTGTTTCTTAAACCTTCAGGTCAGCGTGAGGAATGGCGAGGTACAAACTCCTGATCAGGTCAGCTCGACAGGTCGTGCAGGTTACAGACACAGGTGCACGTGCACTATATGGCACGGACATGCAACACGTGGCGGTACTGGAAGGGGGCCATAGCATCGTGGTAGGGCTGTAAGTGTTCCAACTATTCACTCATATAGGTTCAGCTGTAATGCCAGATATGTTATAACATCACCGGATCTCCGATTCTTGGAACCAGAAATTACCGAATTTCTAGATGTTTTGTTTCCGGAAATGGGTGGGTGAAGCAGTCATAAAATACCTGCTTAGCTTTGCCAGGTGGAAATTTAGAGTTACTCCCCCTATACTGTGCAATCCGTCATCGACACTGCGCGAAACTCGACCGGTTTTATGCCCACATTGTTATCGGTGCATTCTGTACTATTTATTTAAGTACACTGTATGTTTTATACGACACTGATCATCAGCGACTTGCCAAAACCCTAAATGAATTTGTGGCATATTGGTAAAGAAATTAATGATTAGGTTTTAAAAGACAATAATTGGATTTTGGGGGGTACCAAAACTGTCAAGAGAATGAAGGTAACTTTCAGTTACTTATCACTTGAAAATGTTGATACCTACAATGGAAATCATTTTCGAAGGTGTATAATTCCTTTTCAGAACCCATCAAAGTAATCACAAATCAAAGCGTTATTGTTATAAAGTACATGCATATGTTCTATCAAATTAATGTCCGCTGTTTGATGCTTTAGTTAAACTAATTTTACGGATTTGAGATCTTGGGTTTTGAAAACAAAAACACATGGGAAAGAATAATAAACAGTTGCGGAGAGTACTCCCGTTTTCATCATGCTTGGGGAGCTTAGCAGAAAAAATATCTTCTGGATATATAAACGAGGATGGTTTTGTTTGGGTCCAAAGTCTTGCATACATGCCTAACTTGTCATATATTGTACTATCCATGATGTTTAGAGATGAAATCTTATTCGCTGTCGTTTTACGTAATATTCCAGGTTATACTTCAGTCAACTCAGATCAAAATATCACTTCCTGGTCAAAGTAGACGGTTTCTAGCACTGTCCTTGATGCTTATGCCCACATGTGAATTTCTTTCAAAAACATTTCTTATCATCTGCTGAATTAGGATGTAAAACTGGAGTAAGTTATCAAACTTAAGTGTTTCCAGTATCGGTGTACCGCTTCCCGTTTGAAACAGGATGACGGAACAACAGACCAATCCATGAGAGAATCTGTAAATTGTATTTTTCATAAATATATTTATTTATAAAAATATTGTTATTGTTGTTGTTGGTTTAGTTTGACATAATCAATTTGTGCAGTAACCGCACACCCAAGACTTACCAAAGACTTATTTGTGCTTTTTTCAGGGACGGTAAAATCCGCGACATTGGTCCCGACAGCGAGATACTAGACAGGTACAGGGAGGAGGATTTCACCACCATCATCAACGCTAGCCGGAGATGTGTGATGCCAGGTGACAAGTCGCAGTTGTGTTATGTGTTCGTTGTGGTGGTGTTACTGATAGAGTGAGTGAGTGAGTAAGTGAGTGAGGAGGGTTTTTGGAGCCGTTTTGAACAGCTTGTCAGTTACATCACGGCGTGATGCGGGAGAGAAGCCGGACATAAAGCTGATCATAGACGTTTTCTTCCTTGATGAGTGAGTGAGTGAATATGTCCTGTCTTGTAGTGTTTATGCCAAAGACACTGCGTTCAGTGTTATCCATGTCAAACACCAGGGCCCGAGAAGTCAGGTGTGTTTAAACTGTGATTAAATATACAACTTAAGCACAAAAATATTTAACTAGCGCAGAATTCAGGCTGACAAACCTTCTTGGTACGCTGTATTAGAGGATATTATTAACGTGGTAAACGTATTTTGTGCGCTAATACAAGGTTTAAAAAATTATAGATATGTCCTTTGTACATTCACGGTTCTTTATACATTTTACATTTTTTATATTATTTCAGTAATTTAACTTCAAATCACACCAATGTATCAATGTAAGACACTTCTTACGTGGTATTAGGGATTCAGGGATGAGCAATGCGACGGAGTGAAAGTTGCCTGGTACTCGGGGAGAGCGGAGTAAAACAACGTTTAACTTTCTGTACGATCTGACTGTACAACATATCTAATACTGATACAGCCTGCACACATGTAGACGGCGACTAAATCCACACGTGCGCCACGAGTTCTCGAGCTCGTGTTGAGGAGCGCTGAGATATTTCTTTCAGCTGTATAGAAGTTGTAGCATATGTGATATTTGGGATTAACACTTTCTCAGTATATTCCATATTCTAGTACTCTTTGTGGGTTGTGAACCATCCGGGATCCTAATCGCCAGTTCATCAGCGATCTAACGCACATGGCCGCTGACTTTGTGTGCTGGCGATTCTAAACGAGTGTGGATTCGAATCCCGAATCAGAAAAATTACTATAATCCGTAGGCCTACTTTATTAAGAAAGTGTAATCCCAAATATAACATGTTACATTTGACCACTATCTAAGTGGCATTTCATTCAGATGCAAGTCTATTAAATTATGGTAATTTTACAAACACGAAATAAATATATTTAATGTATTCTTTTTGCAATAACTTAGAACACTTCGAAAGCATAGCCGGTGTGGTGTATGGTAGCTAGTTTAGAATCTGCACGGAAGCACAAACAAACCATGGAGCGAGAAATAATTCAAGAAATATAAAGTTAAACGATGTTGGACTGGTTGGCAGAAGCTAAACCCGCAGAAGAAATAGCGACTGAAGATACCTACGTCGTACAGAATGAAAACCAAATACAATGTAGGACCAAATTTGAAAAAGAAAATTAATATTTAATATTTTCTCGTTTAGTAATCTTTATTTAGAGGGCGATGGGAAAGCCTAGTTACTATAGCGTTCGAAGTCGTGTGTGAAGCCCATTTTTGGTGTCCCTCTCCGAGATGTTGCTGGGATATTACCAAAAGCGGCGTAAAACCATACTCACTCACTCTTTATTTTGAAATCTCGTTTAAGAAACATGCTGTCTGGTTTAACGGAAAACTGTCTCATTTAAATGAGGTGCGCCTTTGTTTAAACTATATCGTTGTAACGACATACCCTTTCGTCTTAACGACTAGATTCAGTGTATGTAGTGTCTGTGTCCCCTCTGTTCCAGGTTTAGTGGACGCCCACACCCACCCTGTGTGGGCCGGGGACCGGGTGCATGAGTTCGCTATGAAGGTAACAATACGTATGTCTGTATGGTGGGTTGGACAGGGGGAGTGGCATTCACAGTTCAACAACTGGTCTCGTTTACAGCCAAACCTGTTCAATCAAGACCCCTTTAGACAGGACGTTAACTATTTCAGCGTCTACACTCCTTACCAATAACTCGCTACTCCGGGACCCGTGAAGATCCGGGGTAGAATTGATTTTCACTAACCCATGTTTGTCGTACGACTAACGGGATCGGGTGGTCAGGCTCGCTGACTTGGTTGACACGTGTCATCGTATCCCAAATGCGTAGATCGATGTTCATGCTGTTGATCACTGGATTGTCTGGTCCAGACTTGATTATTTACAGACAGCCGTCATATAGCTGGAATATTGCAGAGTGCGACCTAAAACTAAACTCACTCACCCACTCACTAATCCCGACCCCGCGTCTATACTCTCTAACCACTATTCGCTTATCCAGATATCTATTTATCCGGATGGCGTATGACAGGGGCGTTTTCAGTTGACAGAGTCAATATCCAGCTAGGGTCCATGCAGGTATCAAAAGTACTGTAAGTCCCCAAGGACCGTAGTATTTTGTATCGTCTATAGTGATTTAATTTTATGATAACGTACTAGTTTTACATTTTTATCTGTGATACTCTAGTTTTTTACTGTCTTTCGGTGACAGGTCTTTACGTTCTAAATTTATTGATTTTAATATTGATGTAAATTGAATTATTCTCGTCACGATATGGCTGAAATATTGCCGATGTGACGCTAAATATTAACTCACTCACTGACAGAGTCAATACTCACTACCCATGACTCGTTTATCCGGACATTTGTTAATGTGGACGATTTAATGGTAACGCTATAGTATGTGTTAACGAGTTTGTACTTTCAGCGATATTCACATCTGTATGTCGATTAAAAGTATCACATTTGTTTCTGCAAACTGAGATTTGTTCAAAAACTCAGTCTGTCTCGTCAACTAATGTCAAAGGTTGTTAAGCACAGATATAGTTATTCTTTAATTCTAACTCTATTTAGAAAAACTAACGATCGAGTAAAATCACAAATTCAACTCATCTGTGATGCTGGGGAAACGAGAGTTTGTAATTGTGTCAGGACACAAAAATCGCTTTATCAAAATTTAAAGATTTCATTAATGAGGGGAAGGCACTATATGTATTTATATTTTAAAAAACCAAGAGTTCAAGCATATGTACCCCAGAATAGTCGACTGATGTGATCCACTTGTCTGTTTCCATCTGTTTTTACAATGGCGGTCACTGATCAGTAACAGATTTAGAATGGTCAATTTCACATCTCACAAACTTGTCTTCGCCACCTGCTGATTGTGTTATTCTTCTCACCACTGTGTATTTTGATATGTTCATCAAGCTTATAAACAAGAAAACACAAAATAGCTTCTTTATCCGTGAATGCTTCATGGAAATGACACCACGTGGTGTTTGCTGGTGAAGCAGTCGGGCTGACAATATGAATATCACATTAAAATGTAATGAGTTTTATTGCGGTAATGACAGAGTGAGTGAGTGTTATGTGCCCTCCTCTTCCTCCTTCCGTGACCCTGGGTCAGTGGGGTAGCCTAGTGGTTAAAGCGTTCGCTTGTCACGCGTAAGACCCGGGTTCGATTCCCCATATGGGTACAATGAGTGAAGCCCAATTCTGGTGTTCCCAGCCGTGATATTGCTGGAATATTGCTAAAAGGGCGTAAAACTACACTAACTCACTCACTCCACCCTGGTAGATTTAGTGGGTTTTCGTACACCGGCGACAAGGATAAAACTGCCATTGTGTGTGTGTTATACAATACATATTATTGCCTTTGAACTGTTTAATGTTTTATGTAACCTATGGCATCACGAACAGAATAGGTATATATAATTAACATGCACACCTCTTAAAAATGTAAGTGCGTTTTCATATATACACCGATCCATCTCAGTCGTAACGAATGCGTCACGCCGTTCTGTGAAAATTCAAAGACTTGTTCCGCCTGTGCTAACGCTGCGTCACCTTTATGAATTCTCAGTTCCTCTTTCGATGAATATGTAATAAGCTGAGATTGCCCTTAGCTCGCTCGATGTCAGAAAAGAATAGGAGGGGTGTTTGGGGGATTTATTTTCCTGGCCCCGTTCAACAAAGCGAACTGAGCGCTAAGATGATCGTAAATTAAACTCCCATACTTTCATATATAGACTTACGACAGTCGTTGCGGTACGACAGCTTTGTGAAGTGGGGCCCTGTTTGTTTGTTTGTTTGTTTGTTTGTTTGTTTGTTTATAACTGAACGTTTATGTCATGTGTGTACAGTTGGCCGGGGCGTCCTACATGGACGTGCACAACGCCGGCGGTGGTATACACTACACCGTGGACCACACCCGGCGGGCAACGCAAGAGGAGCTACTGGAATCGTTCTGTGGTCGGCTCCGGGCCATGGTCCGGTTTGGTACCACGCTGGTTGAATGTAAAAGTGGATATGGTCTGGACACGGACAACGAATTGAAGATGTTGAGAGTGATAGACGAGGGAAGAAAGAGCGTCAGTATTGACGTGTCCAGTACATACTGTGGCGCACACGCTGTCCCGAAGTAAGACCATCTATATAGTCCCATAGTAAAACCTCACGCTGTCCCGAAGTAAGACCTTCTATATAGTATAAAGCGAAGTATGGTATCACGAAGAGATGAAGTAAAACCAGACGATGTGTATCTTCTTTGAGTGGATTAAGAAGCTGGTATGATGAGTGACCCTGACTGAGTTTGGTAAAACCTCCGCTTTAAGCATCTATATTCCAGCAACATCACGGCGGGGACACAGAAATGGTATCACACTTTGTAGAGAGTGGGGAAGTCGAACCCGGGTCTTCGGCGTGACGAGCCAACGCTTTGACCACTAGGCTACCCCACCGCCCCTGGTATGATGAACATGAACGGTGCTGCTTGATAACGGAGGTAGCATCTACACCTCAACGTCGCATCAATTGCGATAAAGAAGTTGTCTATCCATAAAAACATCGTTCCTGTAGACGATGTTTAGTTAAAGCAGACGTAGGAGAGACTCTCAAGTAAAAACAGACAATTTCTCAACTGAGCGGAGGAATTCTAAAATAGGCAAGCGATTTTCAACAATAGATACACCATGTTCTAAGGTGGGGCAGGTGTGTTCTGAAGTAAAAGAAAACTATCTTTCAAAGTGAACGCACGAACTGTAACAATTCAACAACTCCTTGGTTATTTGATGAATTACAATAGAACTACTTCGTAATCGGGCGCTTTAGGATCAGTCGTAGACTTTCCTTCTTTGTCCTTCAATCTTCGCTCTGCTGTCTTCCACCAGGTGCCCTCTGTTAACATGTATAAGTTAGTTCATCCCATGTTCGAAACTCTCTTAGCGCCAAGATAGTCGTAAGTTAAGGTTAATGTATGACACGTACTACTAAGAAAACTTCAAAAATAGGCCCAGACAATGTTATTGAATATATAGCTTTTGAAAGCTGCCCCCAAGTTGACGTTAAACGACAAATGTGACTGGGACACTGACAGTGGCATTCCAAATGGAGCTTTGAGATATTTCTCAGATATAACTCCTCTCTTTCTTAGAAATAATTTCATGTTTCAGACCAAGTACATATGTTGTGATCACCTTGAAAATTTTTTGGGTTTTTTTATTATCAGAGGTCGAACCGCGGCAGAGGCTACGGATGACGTCATCAAGAGGCAGCTCCCTGCCATACAGAAACTGATGACGTCAGGCGAGCTCCACGTAGACAACATCGACGTGTTCTGTGAGAAAGGGGTGTTTGACGTCACACAGTCACGTGATATACTCTTGGCGGGGAAAGCTGCGGGGTTACAGGTCAACTTCCATGGTGATGAGTTGCACTGTCTGAACTCCGCCGAGGTACGGAACTCTTCACATTGACCACTAGGTCACCAGCGTCATACTTTTGTCTTATAAGAGCGACTAACTTGGGGATTGTGTGGATACAATGGCTACTAGTTTGTTGGAGTGAGTGAGTGTGGTTTTGTCGCAGTCGCCAACAGTGTGGCACCGGGCGGGGATGTCGTCCACTGTATGCATGTGGGAAGGGAAGTTATGGTCTTCGATCATCATGCTAACATATTTCTCCTACCACTTATCAATGACGGTTTCCTGCATACCCATTCTGTGCCTGTAGAATTGGGGATTCGGTAAGTTAGGGGTTTGCCCACGTACCGGCATTTAGCAGAATTGAAACCTCTTACAAATACCGGGTGTAGGCAGTGTAGGAAAGATGCAGAAAATCTAGCCTGTCCACAGGACTGGCTGGTCAAATTTTTTACCAGTCCTGCCAAAATCTAGCCTGTCCTCCAAATATAAATAAAACATAAAAATATTCAAAAAGGTTATTATCATTATATATATGTCATTGGTTTGCTAAAACTGACCTGACATGAGGACGGACTAGATTTATTTTTAACCCGTCCTCCACAAAATTCACCCGTCTCGGACGTTGGGACGGGTTATCTTTCCTACACTGGTGTAGGCGTTGTGCAAAATAAATAGTCACCCGGAAGTCTAACAGATGGAATACGGTCAGCCCATCGTGTATCGTCAGGTAAGGCTTTCATCAAGGAAACCAATCACGTTCAACTGTGTTGTAGATGGGAGCTGATATCGGTGCCCTTGCCATCAGCCATCTTGAAGAGGTGTCACGTGACGGTATCAGTGCCATGGCAAGGAGTGGTACTGTGGCAGTTATTCTGCCTACGACGGCCTATATACTGCGGTTATCTCCCCCTCCCGTCCGTCAGATGATCACGGAAGGCGTGGCAGTTGCACTGGGGTCGGATTTCAACCCGAATGCATATTGCTTATCAATGGTAGGAACAGAAGCCCTCAGGTCACGCTTATAATGTAAAGCACGTGGACGGCATTCAGAGAAATTACTATTCGATCATTGGTTTGAAGAAGAGAATACCAAATGGTCATTTTATTGGTAGAACATTATATAATTTGACGAATTAGATGGTCATTTTACGACAGTCTACCAAACATGGAATGTGTGTGTTTATATTCTTCATTATAATAATGTAAACTATGGGAAAGATGAGTTGTCAGGTTGCGATGTTCGTGACAGCCGAGGAACATTTTAGATGTGGTTTAAATAAGGTAGCCAAGCCAGAGATTCGAACTGGCCTACAAGCCACAAGATTAGTTAATTAATCCTATAGTAAAATGCAATTTAATACTCCCATATAAGCATTATCATCTACCGCCATGACGTTGGTGTGAAGTATTGGAACCGTGTTTGTCCGAAAATCATTTCTACAGATTTAAGGCCCTGGGGTGAGGAAATGTTTTCTCGAAAAGTACTGAAATTACACGAATAAAAATTTGCCTTCTTGACTGAAAGACTCTGGACAAGATGGGACGGTCATGTTCCAGAATGTTACATTGTCAAAATTATCTAATTGATTTTTGTGTAAACCTGTTTCTGCATACTGTACTCTTGATTCAGCCTGATGTCAGGTTTTGTTTGTACTTACACTTACATTACAACCCGTGAAGGTCCGGGTTAGAATGAACCTTCAGTAACCCATGCTTGTCGTAAGAGGCGACTAACGGGATCGGGTGGTCAGGCTCGCTGGCTTGGTTGATACATGTCATCGGTTTCCAATTGCGCAGATCGATCGATGCTCATGCTGTTGATCACTGGATTGTCAGGTCCAGACTCGATTATTTACAGACCGCCGCCATATAGCTGGAATACTGCTGAATGCGGCGTAAAACTAAACTCACTCACTCACTCACTCACTTATATTACAGTAATGATTTTGTTCGTTCGTTTCTTGCAGCCGATGGTGATGCATCTTGCTTGTGTCAATCTGCGCATGTCCATGCCGGAAGTGCTATGCGCCAGTACAATCAACTCGGCCGCAGCTCTCGGCATGTCGTCCAGCCACGGTTCTATAGAAGTGGGGAAAGTGGCCAATCTTCTCGTCTTGGACGCACACAGGTACAGTGATGAACACTGGGTAACATAGCAGTCAGCAATAAACAAGATATGTCACGGCGGCCTGAAACAAATCCAGTTTCGTCGAAGTAAGGCCATGGTTGATACCACGAGCAACTAGGTACACGGACGTGGCACGATCAGTGTATTCTTCCAGATCTATTCTTTGGAATACTCTTTGGTTATCTACGAATAAGTACGTTTTGGCTCAATTACTAAACGTCCCCACCTTTATGAAATACAGTGGACCCTATTTCAGAAGAGAATTCAGCCAAACCTAAATGCACCAATTAACTTTTAATATTTAACTTTAAACATTAAACACAGCATGGAGAGAGAGAGAGAGAGAGAGAGAGAGAGAATTTCGCTCTCGAAAATTTTGCTATCAATTTTATCTTTCCGATTTGTTTTGATATATTTAATATTAAATGACACGGCGGTAAGATGCAATTTTTCATCCAATGACACTCTTGCAGCCTGTAAATAAGGTCCCTTCCACAAAGCAATCGTAGCGCTAAGATGTTCGTAACTCCCATACTTTAACATAGACTTACGACTGTCGTAGCGCTACGATCGCTTGGAGGAACGTTGGCTATCGTTGTGCTACGACTGTCGTAAGTTTATGTTACAGTATAGGAAGTACGACAGTCGTAGCGCTACGAAAGCTTTGTGAAACGGGGTCCAGTCTTTTTCTTAAGTGCCAAGAGTGAGTGAATGAGTGGGTTTAGTTTTACGCCGCTTTTAGCGGATTCCTTCAATATCAAGGCGATGGACGCCAGAAATGGGCTTCACACATTGTACCCATGTGGGGAATCGAACCCGGATTCGGCGTGACGAGCGAACGCTTAAACCACTAGGCTACCCCACCGCCACTAAAGAGCAATGAGAACAGTTACTCAGCCTGGCCGCTTCATGGGTTTGATAGTGACGTCATGGTTTACAGCTCTAGACTGCGACGTTTGTAATTGGTGATTCCGACATGTTGTATTCTTCCTTTTCAGGTGGGAACATCTGATCTACCAGTTTGGTTGTAGTGACGTCATTCAGCACGTCATCTGGCACGGTGACGTGGTCCACAGCAAGACAACATCCGCAACGTCATAATCCGCTACGTTTTGTTTGTTTGATGTATTGTTTGCCAAAGATTGGCTTGCTTGTTGACTTCTTACGGAACAGATTTTGAATGTTAATTTAACGTTACTTATATGCTTGACCTGTGTGAATCGCTGTGCAGAGTAGCTACCCTTGGGTTCGCCGAAAACCCATGATCTTAGGTTGGAATCCCAGTTACGTTTCAATGTTTGTCAGCTCCATACACATGGTCATGGGTTTCACAAAAGTGGTAAGAGACATGCATCTCTTCGGGCGTTTCTCCCACATTAAGCAGACCCCCCGTGATGTAACTGGAATACGGCGCTAAAACCAGCTCATTGACTCACTCCCTGTTCGTCCATGAGTAGTTTCATGTCATCAGTTTAACCGATGTTCCAATACCATAGTCCTTGAGAACAATACTTATTCTTTTGTGGCTTTGCCGAAAACGCAAAAATAAAAGTATCTTTATTTCTAATGCATCCTGTTGGATGTCCAACCCATTGTATGCGTTCAATAGTTTTAAGGGGGACCCGACAGCCGGCAGATAATTAAGACGCATCAGCTATTTGTAATCATTGGTGGGCAACTCTCTCATTTGTCAGTCTCTTTTGAAATCTGAAACATCAAAAAAGCAGCCAGACAATTTGAATCACTTTATGGCCGCTCGATGTCCAGTGATGACCACGGCGGAGATTATAAATCACGGGTATCGTCACCAGCATCGGTGCTGAGACTCCGTGAAGGGAGCACGTGCCACGGGCGTCCATAGTCGCCCAGATCTCGCGCCATCCATCACTCTTATCACCGTCGATCATAAACTACCTGTCGGCGGATATGTTCAACACTCAGAATGAAGGCTCGTGGTCTCATTTGTCCCCCCACGTGCACACAAGGCGGAGGCGACATGGGCAAATTAGATCTAATGATGTGTATCAATTCCGTCAATAAATCAGGCTCTATCTTGTTCTCACTCTTCTTCTTAAGACTCGGGGATAAGAGAGCATGTCATTTAAATTCCAAGAGGTCTTTGAAACATCAGCCTATTTCATTACCTTTTCTTTCTTTTTTGTTATGCAATGGGTTTTTCCTGGAGACTGGGACCATCTCAAATCCGTTTAGTTTCCCAAATGTACCAATATATATTATAAAATATATTCACTCGTTTGTGCCCGTGGATCCTGTGATCTATGACTGATTCTCATGTGGGAGATATACGTAGTCACATTTTCTTGTGTTTTCTTTCGATGATGTCAGAATTTCGTTTTGCATGGAATACGTAAGTTCCGCCAGGTAGCTTGAAGCTGGATTGCCATACAAGGCCTATCAGATCTCCACTTTCCGAAGTCGAATAGAACTCTCTGTAATCCTGGTACCTATTTGGGCCCTGTTACTCAATGTGTACCTGGGGCTAACATCATCGTATCTCTCATGGTTTAACATTGGCTTACGATACTCGTAGCCCTACGGTCGCTTTGTGGAATAGGATAGACCAGTTTACTTAAAGACAAGTCCAGTTTTACACAAAGCAATGTATGTACTAAGATCTTCGATATAAGTCTTCGTTAAAGCACTTTCAAACCTTGGTACGACCTTCATTTTCCAAGCCAAAATTAAAATTTCTGATTCTGAAAAACATTATGGAAACACTTCTGTTTTCAATTAACTGAGTTTTATGTTGTTGTGACGTTAGTGTTGAGCTATTAGATATCTGTACAGAACGCTTGAGTCTGATATTCTTGCACGGAGGTTCTCTTTGGTGTAGTATGTATAGGAAAAGTTGTATAAGACTTCAACGTGTACTCGCCCATGCGTCTGAGACCGCACTGCCAGACCCCTGCATTTATTTACATATACGCACACGCTAAAATATGCTTAGAATATAGTCAAAATCTCATCAAAATCTGTCGCGGATCAGTTTTCCATTTTAACAATGGACATTTTGTCTAATGGATCAGTTGTTGTATACACGACCTCGAACCAAGACAACTTTCCTCCATTCCAAACCCCGGAATGGTTTCCAGACGATTGAACCTTTCCCAAAATTCCTTACAATACATTGAATCCGTTTTCACGTCACTCAACACACACGTATAACATGTGTCACTTCAAGTCAGCCAGAGCATCCAAAACGGATGACAACTCAATCTTCTACTAATCCTGTTTTACCATGATATTTGACTTATTCGCCTTCAGAGAAAATTCTTTCACTTGTAGCAGTTTATGTAAAGCAAATCAAATGACCCATGGTCTTTACATGGTTTTCACACAGGACGGTGAATAGTTTTCGGCGTCACAGTCCACCATATGCACGCTGTCACCCCAGCGGGACTACCGATCATAGTTCGGTCCCGCGGTGAAGGTCATTGCGCATGAGCTGTAGCGATGTATGCCGCCGTCTGCTAGGTATCAAACCTTGGTCAATATTTTCGGCCTGGAATGAAATGAAATGGCGGCATGGCGGCGTTTATGAGTATTTTGGGCTGTAAGTGCCATTAAACACTTTCCACTAACTGCCACTAATTTCTTTATTCGTCCTCGCTCTCCCTTCAATTTCATTTTCCTTTGATGTAGCGACTGTGAAGCGTAAAGTAGATGTTAATGACCGCCCATTGGCTCTCAATACAAGATGGCGGCGATAAGATACAGCGACACCTAGTGTCGTAGCGACAGCTCAATTACGGTATAGGACAATTGTCCAGCTATACGGTGGTCAGTGGAGCAGCACGTGCCCACGTACAAAGTAGGTGTACACCCTGACCTGTCCGAAAGACAAGGTCGCGGAGGATATTCACAGATTTCATCATTTGAACAAATCACACCTCGTCCGTTCGCCATAAAACGCCACAATGATGGACGTTCCCCCGTTTGTAAAGTAGCTATATCCTCGCTTTCAGTTTGGGTTTTAATAAAACGGCTGTAAATAAAAGGCTGTGTGAGCGTCACGCCTCATATATCATACTTGAGCATTGAAAATAGATGTCTTAATTTAGTAGGCTCTCCCAAACTGACGTGAGGGCTTAAGGTAATATTGAAACGTTGCTCTTACCGTAGACGTCGCTCCATGATATCAAAGTCTGACGAAATGCTTATTGTCCATGTCAAATGAGTGCGTAGCGTTTAACAGTGAATAAAATGATTTGGAGACAACTTGAAAGTCATCGTGATAGCTTAACAGGTTTTGTTCCGACTGAAATATTGTTTGAGACCGTTGAGAAATAGTTGTGCTAATCTTTATGTATGATGTATTGATGGTGTAGACAGTTTTCGTTTTCTTCTAGGACCATTACTGCCTAATGGTGATCATAGCAGTCACGATCTCCCAGCGCCGTGTGTCGGGGATAGGTTTTGTATTGTTAGAGGGATACAGAGGCATTTTAGATAGATGCTTACTTAGAAGTTTATAATATACAGCCAGTAAATCCTTGGCGGAATGGGTCCCCAGTATGAACATAGTGAAGTAGGCGTGTTGTTAATGTGTTTAGTCACACTCGGGTTCGATTCTCAGGTATGGCGTTGAGTCAATCGTTCATTGAGTACACAGTGAATATGATCGTAATCCTGCTGAAAGAACGTGCAGCCATATTCACTCACTCACTTCACATGATATGTTTTTGAAAATGTATTCAACATGTAATTTTTAGAATCCTTTCAGTCGTAAATGTCACTGGCCGTTTTAACTCCCAGTGCCATGTTCAGTCTACCTCTTACTTCTGGTATCTGTGGTGAGGTGAAATTGGGTTTAATATTTCGCTCATATGACGACGTGCATGCGTGTGTATGTGTATGTGCGGCTGCTTGTACTAGCCCAGACTGAAGCTGGTTTTATAGTGCTAGCCCACTGAGATACCATGCCGCAGTGAAGCATGAATACCCCACTCAGACACATTATACTGACTCCGAGCCGACCAGTCCTTGTTGTACCCATTAGTGCCGAGCGCCAGGCAGGGACCAACAAGTACCATATTTTAACGTCTTTTGGTATGACGCGATCGGGGATGGAACCCGCGACCTTCCGCTCTCCGGCCGGACGCTCTAACCACTACACCACGGAGACGGTCTCTGGTATCTGAGGGGCGGTGGGGTAGACTAGTGGTTAAAGCGTTCGCTCGTCACGCCGAAGACCCGGGTTCGATTCCCCACGTGAGTACAACCCGTGAAGGTCCGGGTTGGAATGAATCTTCAGTAACCCATGCTTGTCGTAAGAGGCGACTAACGGGATCGGGTGGTCAGGCTCGCTGGCTTGGTTGACACATGTCATCGGTTCCCATTTGCGCAGATCGATGCTCATGCTGTTGATCACTGGATTGTCTGGTCCAGACTCGATTATTTACAGACCGCCGCCATATAGCTGGAATATTGCTGAGTGCGACCTGAAACTAAATTCACTCACTCACTCACTAATCCGGATTTCTATTAATCCCGACCCCGCGTCTATAACTCACTCACCCACCAGGGTGCATTGTGTGAAGCCCATTTCTGGTGTCCCCTGCCGTGACTTGAATATTGCTATACTCACTTACTCATTACTTCTGGTATCTGATATAGCTGTTGGTACGATGTGCGGGGATGCGTGTACCGCCATGACTCAAGTCGTGCGTAGTTCTGTCCCTTAGTCGCGTCAGGAGCCGTTGGCCTGTGTTTAGATTTCACGAAAAAAAGACATTTTTAAGCTGCATTTTGCCACACACCCATGTGAGGAAGAGGACGGGCGTGACGAGAGAACGAAGGCTTCAACCAGTAAGCCACACAACCACACAACCATACAGCCACACAGAGATACAGACCTCAACTACGTACAGTGCACACATTCGGTATACATCTACACCTGATATCACCCAGTTCAGTTTTAAATGTCAGTGGGTTCAATAGAAAATGAATGATTCTTTATATTATTTCAGGGGTCGTGAGTTAGCGTAGTGATTAAAGCGTTCACTAATCACACCGAAGACCCTGGTTCGATTCCCCACATGATACGGCCTAAAACTAAACTGACTCATGTTATTTCATACCATAGAACATATCATATCACCGTTTGTGAAACTTCCTTGTTCTGCCTAACACTAGTGAAACAAAAGAATACCATATTTTTTAAGAAATATAATTTCAAGCACTCAACAGAAAAATGAAAGCAGAATGAAAGGAGAAGTAACAGTGATGAAGAGAGAGATGGGACGACAGAAGGTGGATGAAGGAGAGAACGGAGGGCAAAGGAAAGCTCATTTTACGCAGCTTGGAACATTCAACATATCAGCCCCATCACTTCCGTTCCAGCTAGACATGGGAGAACAGTATACAGAGAGCAGCGACATCGTGTTGAACATTCCTTCCCCGCCACCCACCTCGCCCCTCACAGCCATTCCCACCCCTCGTTGAACACTCTACATTTTACATTGTTAACTTATACTTTGAACATGAAAAGGCAAACTTGATCTGTCGTCTTAACAACCGAAACCCATTGTATAATCTTCAATTTTCTCCAATAAATAACAGTTTAATTTGTGTACTCCCATAAACCCTTAAACACCAGCTGATTTAAACTGTCGCAATTTATTGCATTAAGTAAGCGCTTTCTGTGTCAAAACTGATTTATTGCAGTAAACCATGAATTTGAATTTTCGCTTTATCTCTGAAATTTCATCAGAATCATTACAGTTGGTTGCTCTTGAACCTGGTTTATGTCACAAGTCAATAGTCCGGTCCACTGGTCTTGATCCAACACACCGGTGTGTTTGGAAGAGGTATTTGATTAACATTGTGCCATAACCAGCATCGTGTTATAACTAATGGTGGTTTATATTGATGAACAATGCAGAACATGCTCCACAACAGACCTCAGACAAGTCACATACAGCCTGTCTTTGACGTTAGGCTTACAAAGATACATCCTTTTGTTCAGTCAGTTTTATGGTTTCATTTCCCTTTGAACTATCCAGTGCTTGACATACGTTCTTCGTGAAGCAAGGACC